TTGTATGTTCTTCATTATGATACAAGGAGGAGCAGCTCAAATCTCATGAAACACGTTTTCGGACTGTTTCTGCTGAGCTCCAGGAACTGCGCTCTACACCTCAAGACCGCAAGACCAAAAGCAGGGACCAAGAAGAATACAAGCAAAGGGAAGAGTATCTTGACTTTGAGGTAAAAACATCACATCTTTACTTTCTATTCCCAAGAGAATTTCTTACAGTGACTTCCATTCTGCCATTCTTACATCTTTTTTTTCAATGTATCTCCCAGAAAACACGTTACGGAACATATACAATGCTGCTGAGAACTAAGATCCGCATGGGAGAAACGGACCTGGCGGCATTTGAGGGCCGTTTGTTTGAGGACAGCGGTTTACAGAGGACCCACTCCAGCCCTACGTTACCCCAGGACATCAGCCATGCCAGCAGCACCAAAGAAACCAGCAGGAGCAGCAGCGGCAGCAGCAGGAGGACCAAACGCTCAGACTCTCAGAGACACAGCTTCAAACAGGCTGCCAAACAGTGAGATGAACCAGCCACAATTGGTTATTTATCTCCATTCAGGAGCTCTGCCAGGACGCCTGCAGGTTTCTTCAATGGCTGCTCTCGTCGAGTGGTCATGATTATGAAACTGCAGTTGGGATTTCTGTCCCCGATGTGACCGCTGGTTAAAGCATGCCTTTTCTAGCCGGTAAATGGGCCCAAATCTGCAAGTGGGCCGATGAGAAGGAGCACCAGCCTGACATTGTCTCATTCCTGTCAGTCTTTGTTTTGTCACCACAGATCTGTTGACTTTATCTGTGTATTTTGCTTGTTGGTTGTTGGTTTAAAACAGTTGCGGCTTAGAACAAGTTGCAAATTTTTAAAGGAGAGACCTCTTTATCATGTGAAGATACTGTAGGTGGTTCACTTTATATATTTAAAGCATTGTAGATTTTGCTTTTTAGATGATCAGTTCTCCAACTGAAGTCGATCAGGCGCTTTAACACCTTATGAAAGTTTAGTCTGTATAGTTCTTTAAACCTTCTTAAAGCACGTCTCAAAGCATGCCTAAGATGTTTGAAGACAATCAGTTCGCATTTGATAAAATAACTGAGAATATGAATGCATTTTTGTTAATTCCAGGGAACTAGTGACAATGACAGTGTAGATAGAACATCCCTTGTGATAAATATTTGCACTTGGAGTCTATTTCATATTTTAAAAGCATTTTAAAACAGTACATTTAGACAATATAATATTAATGAAAATGCCACTTAAGTGTACTTAAATATAGTACACTTTATCTTGACTGACTCTTGTAATCCACATGAATCAGAAGTTGCTGCGGACTTTTATTTCAGTATGATGACGCATGACGTGGCTAAGCATATTTCAGCCAAGCCGTCCAACTGACGTCTTCAGAGAAGGACTGTTATTCCAAAGTCTAAGCAAAAGGTTAGATTTTGATTACTAATTGTTCACCTTAGGACTAAAAATTCAAGAACACCCTCAATTTTAATTTCACTTGTGTTACATAACAATTTTAAATTTCACTTGCTAACCTTCGGGCTTACTTTGTTTAAAAACAATAGGGCTAGCCTTGTGTTTGAAAAATTATCAATTAATAACTTTTTATATTGTCAATGTGTCAAAAACAATATTCCAAACCCCAGGTGGTCTGAAATATAGCCTGATTCTTTTCTATTTTGAGGCGTTTTTGTCGGAAGAATCAAAACACGTGACTGACGGTTAAGCGCGCTCCCGAGAGACTTTCTTTCATTTAACATGACAGGTAACGAATGTTGATCCAAACAATGCTGAAAAGAGCTGTTTTGTGCAGTAATGTCAATGTGTCACGGATTAATTAAATTGGAGTATTGCAAATACTGTATATTGTCATTTAAAACAACGCTAACTAACGTTACTTTTGATTAAATTACACTAACGTTACTGTCTTTGTTCATTTAACTTAGCTGATCTGTGAACATGATGCAGGTGAATTATGATGCTAACATATCCAAATCGCTATGAATCGGCTGCTTTATTAAGTTAACTGTTGTCCTCTTTTCGCTCTTTCTGGTGTGTAACGTTAGTTTATTGAAAGGAAAGACGTCATATTCATTCCTCAAACCGTTGCTCAAAGGCAGAGCAGTGATGATGGCGTCTGGAAGTTTGTTATCAGTATGTCGCCCTAGAAAAGTATTTACAACTTACCTTCATTTGCACACTAAGAATGGGAAATTGTTTCAACACGAGTCTTTAGGGCACCGAATCACGTTCTGTCTCTTGAACGTTATGTGTACGAGCAAAAAGTTGCTTGTCGCAGTTCACGTAACCACCACAGGTGTCGCTATTAAGTGGGCTTTTTGTTTTCCACAAACAACCCCTGTATAATTTTTTTAACTAATATTTTGATGTGTTAATAAAAAAACTAAAGCACATATGTTTTAAACTATTTTCTTTCAATAGTAAGTACATTTAAAATTTAGCTGAAGTTAACTTTTTCACAAGGGATTAAGCTGTCATTTGTTTTAACCAAGCAGTGCTCATGACCAATTATTACCATGTGAAATGGATGTTAAAATCGACCCTATTGTGTTATTTTGCGTAATGTGTATTTTAAAATATGTATTGAGCTTAAGAATGACGTGATGCAAAATCTCTGTGTCAAAAAAAGACCAAGCCATTGAACTCTCAGGCACTCATTTTCAAAAATTTGTGATTTATTCAGTGCTGTGGTAAAAATGGTTTGATCAGAGAGTAACCACATGTTAATACCTCAATTGCACTGAGAGACCTGCTTAAGGAGTGTTATTTGGTTGGAAGTAATTTAACTGTTTACAAACATGCGTTATTGTGTTAAAATGAATTTAGTTGAACTATTGTCTTATAGGAATGAAAGTAAGCTTCTATGCTGCTTATCAGAACCTCGTGAATTGTCCTGTTGGTATCAGAAATATGAAGGATCCAAGAAATTGTAAAACTTGCAAAACACCATGAATGCAAATCCAGGTCACACAGATCTAAACTGACTGTTAACACTGCCAGCATACAGGTCAAATTCAGAAATAAAAAGACACTAAATACACTACAAAATGAGAATCTGGGACCCGAAATCCATCGAATGGCACTTAAGTAGTGTTATGCTTCACTGCACTATGAATAATAGGTGTATTTAATGAAAACAAAAAAAGAGTTATTTATATATTTTGAACATTTATTATCCATATTGAGTATTTGTTTATACCTGAAACATATTGACTAAAAGCTTTATATACAAGTTTTTATAGGGAACACTCAACCACTGCGGGTAGTTCAGTGTAGCCCAAAGATTTTGCTGTAAATGTAACTTATTTCTTATGACTTAGATTTTGTGTTTGTTGTGTTATTCATTCTAGCTGTATATAATGTGAATATTATGTTACAGCCTCTCAGTAAAAGATATTGCTATGTTTGTATGTTTTGAAGGCATAGGAAAAAATAAATCTGTTTTGAAACGATAACCGCTTCATTTGATATATTTGTGTGCACATCACAAGACTATAAATGGGGTTCAGATGATTTATAATGAAATAAAAATTCATTCAATCATTTTCTTTTCAGCTTAGTCACTCTATTAAAATAATAAATAAACAAAAAAAAACTTATCCAGCATGTTTTAGGCAGCGGATGCCCTTCCAGCCGCAACCCAACACTGGGAAACACCTACACACATACACTACAGACAATTTAGTTCAGTCAATTCACCTATACCGCATGTCTTTGGACTGTGGGGGAAACCCATGTGAACACAGGGAGAACATGCAAACTCCACACAGAAATGCCAACTGATCCAGCTGGGGCTCAAACCAGCGACCTTCTTGTTGTGAGGTGATTGTGCTACCCACTGCACCACTGTGCTGCCCCTGGGATAACAACATAAGGTTAAATAAATGTTTTTTAGTCTCTTCTGCTTTGCACAACATTTGAGCAGAAATAAATGTATATTTAGGAAGGTATCAATTTTCCTTCAGCTTAATTCCTCTCGCTTTATTTGTCAGGGGTCACCACAGCAGAATCAATCTCCAAATATTCCAGCATATGTTTTACACAGCGGATGCATTTCCAGCTGCAATCCAGTACTGGGAAACACCCATACACTTTCACATTCACATACTTATACACTATGGTCAATTTAATTAGTCCAATTCACCTATAGCACATGTCTTTGGACTGTGGGGGAAACTGGCACACTCGGAGGAAACCAAAGTAAACACGGAGAGAACATGCAAACTCCACACAGAAATGCCAACTGGCCTTTTGCTGTAAGGTGACAGTGATAACCACTGAGCCGCTGTGCCACCCTTAGTGAATTATATTTTAGTTTATTATAAATGTTTGTATATTTATATTTTAAATAAATATTAAAATAAGTTTAGGGTTACTCTGATTAAAAAAACAAACAAAAAAACAAAAAAAATCAAAGGCTGCTGTTATTGGAGCAAAAATACAGTAAAACCGATATGGCATAATTTAGTGAATTAATATAATTAAAATTAAAAATAACAATTTTTATATATTCTAAAACGCAATTTAGGAAAATTTGTCCATTTTAGTTCACCATAAATGTTTTACAGCATTACGGACAGAAGACTTTTAACAACATTCCAAATACATAATATGTTTAATAAATAATGTTCATTAACTTAGCAAAAAAAGTAACTAAAAACAGTAATGAAGTGAAATATTATTACAATTTAAAATACAATTTTTAATTTTTTGGCCATTTTTTTATTCACACAGGCTGCATTTATTTGAGCAAAAATACAGAAAAAAACAGTAACCGTGACATATTAAAATTTAAAATAACTTAATACACTTGAAATATTTTGCTAATGCAAAGCTGAATTAGAATTTGTCAATAGTCTACTTTTCAGTGTGACCCGTCCAGAAATCATTATAAGATGATGAATGGATGCTTAAAACAATCATCACAATGAATGAATGTATCGATTTCCCAAAATTCAGTCTAAAAACAAAGAATGATGAAATATCTTTAATAAAACAAACTTATTTATTTCTGCATCCAAGAAACACACAACTGCAACATAAAAATGTACATAAATAAACAGCATAAGTCTTTAGATGTATCAGAAAATATTCTTAAGTTTGCATATCATATCAAACGACAGCTGACAAGAATTATTCATATCAGTACATTCTACAAACATGTTAAGGTTACAGCTGTGCTAAAAAACGACAGTCGCATTATTGTTAAATTACCGTGAAGTCAGATGGGTTTTGTTGCTCATGTGGGGATAAGATACAAGCACTGAAATGCCTGCAGAAAAGCAGCTTCACTCCATACCGCAGAGATTTGAGAATCTTAAAGCAACCGATTCCTGTCATGTCTTATTGTTATGTAATACCATTGAGAGATTTTGACCTCAAAACTGCTCTTTTTAATCCTTTCTCTGGTGTGCTGCATTTCCTATTTGAGATGATGTACAGTCCAACGGTTTGCACCTGAAGAACCAGTAAACTAATAAAGTGCTAAGTTGTCCTTATTGAATGGATACTGATGATCAGTGATTGCCCACTGCAGGATTTGCCATCTCCTCTCCAATAGACTGACTGCCGAAGCCACTGTCCTCTGTGGAGTCTAGTAAAAAAAAGAAAGAGGCCTTTGATTAATATCACACCTCACTTTAATCACCAAGTATGTGCAAACATAAGAGGTGTGTCTCAATTTACGTACTTATACACTATTCTACACCATGTACACTACCTCACAAAAGTCTTGTCACCAAGTTTTTGAAATTACACATGATAACTTGACTTCTAGTTGATCATTTGGTATCAGAAGTGGCTTATATGAAAGGCAAAGTCCTCTAGATCACGCTTATTTAACCAAAATAAAATTGTGCCATGATTTTTAATTAATTCTTAGACAAATGTCTTGTCTCTCAACAGTTCATCAAGATTCTTTGGATCCATTTTCAATGCCTCCTCCATTTTTCCCCAGACATGCTCAATAATATTCATTTCTGGTGACTGGGCTGGCCAATCCGGAGCACCTTGACCTTCTTTGTTTTCAGGAACTTTAATGTGGAGGCTGAAGAATGAGGAGCGCTATCCTGTTGAAGAATTTGCCCTCTCCTGTGGTTTGTAATATAATGGGCAGCACAGATGTCTTGATACCTCAGGCTGTTGATGTTGCCATCCTCTGTGCAGATCTCTTGCATGCCCCCATACTGAATGTAAACCCAAATCATGATTTTCCCTTCACCAAACTTGACTGATTTCTGTGAGAATCTTGGGTCCATGCAGGTTCCAATAGGTCTTCTGCAGTATTTGTGATGATTAAGATGCAGTTCAATGGAGGAATCATTGGAAAGATCTAACTTCTAGTGGATCATTTGGAAAAGTGGCAGAAGTCAAGTTATTATTTGTTGCTCTAACAATTGGGATTGATGACAAGACTTTTGTCAGGTAGTGTAATATAAATAGTGAAGTAGTGCATTTACAGCATAAATTCTATAAGGAATAAATGCAATTGAAATACCTGGATGATGCATTTATTTAACTGAATAAAAGAAGTGTGTAAAGTTGAACACTTTATGCGTTCAACAGTCTAAATATTCTGACGGTGCAAAAGAAATCTTGATTTTTAAAAATGATCATAGATTATTGGATTATTATTGCTCACTTTTTAGATGAGTTTGTAGCATTTACAGTCTTTTCTGATTGCTTTATTTAAAGAGATATAGTATATATTTTTCTGTAAATAAGGTTGATATTACACCTATAAACAGTGTGCTCGTTTTTTGATTATTTTAGAACTTCTGATTCAGGCGTCTATTGGGGACATGACTAGGGAACAATAAACGGTAGAAAACAATTAAATTTCTTGCTCTAAAAACAAAGTTGTTCATAAATATAGATAGAAAGAAGAAGAATATCATAAGAAAATATCAGTTTGCAACATGAAGCAGCAGATCGAGCTCTTTTTAACCTCTAAAAATCAATAGAAGTGCATGAAAAGTCTTATAGTCAAATCTCAAGCCACAAAATTCCAATAGCTGTGCTCACTCGTACGTGAAGAATAAGGTCAATACCATGGTAGAATGTACAAAGTAAAAACCAAGTAAAAACAAAGTCCTCAAAATAATGAAAAAAGCAATAGAATACAATATACAAATCAAACTGCTGTATGCTTCTTCACTGAAAGAACTGAACTTAATTTGCTTCTTATTAAAGCCACAAAAGATGCACAAACCAGCACAAGTTTTCTTTTGTGCCTTAAGGATGTTTCTGTATGAATGTATGGCTTAAAGACAATTGTGTGTGTGTGTGTGTGTACACAATTATAGGGTGGTAGCAATAAGATGGATTTGGCTTGAGGAAACAATATGCTCCGATATTCGAGTGCACAGAGATCTGTCTGATTTAGAAGTGTTAAAGTGTTTAGTTTGTTACATGTGTTGATTTGTGTGTGTACCTGAGCTCTGTTTGTCTTCTCTGGGTTGACTATCTCTCAGCAGCCTCACTCCTTCCCTCACACCCAGAGCCTGCAGCGCCTCCACCAGGCCATCCACAGGACCACCACTCAACTGAAAACATACACAAATACCCTTAGTAAGGCATTTAGATCAGACGACAGCAGACAGAGGATGTGTGAATTCAAAATATACTAAAAGGTATAACCTAATAAATACAGCCTACAGATTTATTTTCATATGTACATGTAGTTGCTTTAAGTAATTCATTGTGTTTTTTTTAAATGTTCATCTAGTAGCTTAAAATAATGTACCAGTTTTGTGAAAAAAAAACTGTAAAATACAACCTTAAAGTGAGTTTATATTTTGCAAATCTGACTTGATATAATTTTTTTCTTCTTTTTTTCTAAGAAAAGCAATGCACACATGATTTGTTAGTTTATCATGAATTTTGCGATAAAATCTCACAAATATTCTGACTTCTTCTCAGAATTGTTCTTATCTCACAATTTTGAGAAAAACTCTTCCATTTCCACTTTTCTTCTCAGGATTGTTTTAAGATCTTACATTTCTAATAAAAAGTAATAAAAGGAACACACAATTTAGATTTTTTATGCCATTTTGAAATTATCTCCTCCCACAATTTTAAGTATTTTTCACTGTATTGCGTTTAACTTTTTTTTTTCCAAAAATCTGCAATAAATAAATTTCATATTTTGAATGTATCCTTTTCAAAGTGGACCGACAATTCTGAGAAAAAGTTAGACTTGTGAAATGGGAACAAGCTCCCATGACCTCATTCTTAATTACATGTTTGAAACAAAAATAATACCACATGTAAAGATTATTATGCATAATTTATAAACAAATTCTACATTTATTTATTAACTTATTGCATATTATTTATACATTTAGTAGTTAAATGGTGAGTAAAGAAATGTTAACACTACAGTGCTCAGCATATATTTAGTGCATTTGAACAAAGCAGATTTAATAAGCCAATATATTTAGTAAAATAATATTTGAGTCACCAAAAATCTATAGAAATAGAAAGATAATATATTTAAATTCAAGTAAAGTATTGCAAAACATTTTTCATTTCTCTTCATTTTCCTCTTGTTAAAACTTGTATTTAACATATCCCTGACATACTGTTGAAATTTGGGTGTACTCACTTTTGAACCGGTAAGTTATTTCATTAGACTAGCTCCAGATTTAGCTTCAGTAGTGACTAAACTAATGTATTTGCACAAATATAAAATTGCATAGCATCCTATAGAAAATATTTATACATATAATAGATAGATTTGTAAAGGGTGTACTCATTTATGCTGAGCACTGTACACTAAACAGCAATTTGTGTACTTGTGCACTATTCTATGCTGCTTTTAAGCATAAATTATATACCCAGACAGTGGGAGGCGGCATTAAGAATAACAGTGTGTAACTACTTAGTTTATATAGCATATGTTATTTGGAACAAAACATATGTTGTCTCTACCAGTGCATAAAACTACACAGGAACATTTTGATAATGGTGATTTTGTCTATCCTGCAATCCGTTTACCAATAACAGTATCTTACCTGATAGCTTTCAAGAAGCTTCTGACAGGGTGAAGCGCTGTCCTGGTACAGATGGGTGAGTGTCAGCATACCCAGTTTTTCAGCCAGTTCCCTCCAAGGTACATCGTCATGAATTAGAATCCCACACAGCTTGCTCAGCACCTCGTTGTCCAAATCCTGGTTCACTGCAGCAAGACAAGTCCATATCAGCCACATATGCTAGAAGCATGAGCATGTGAGCACATATAGAATGCTATCTGAGTGTATTACCTTCTTCTGTGCTTATTTTGGTCCTCTTAGGGCTGAGCGAATTGGGCTTGGGGCCTTTCCTGCCATCTAATAAATCTCTAACCTATGGAAGACGATAGAGATTTAAAGGTTAAACCTGTGACATGCATTTAGTCATCCACCTGCCCACTGTATGATAAATACGTTAATGCAAACCTTTTGGGATTTGGCCAGGTCAAAGGGAGTGTGTCCAGCAGCAGGTCTCTTCCGTGGGTTAAACACTCCTCTCTCGGATGATATCGACAAGCAGTGAACTTGCTGAACCATGTCTTCTGAAAGCTTCTTCTCGCTCTCTTCATCTTCATCTGAGGAAGACGAGCTCAGGAAAAGAGGCTCGTCATTCTCTATGCGTTTATCAGCACCTGAAACAAAGACGACAATATTTGACTGATTTTAAACTTTATGTTTCTTACAGATATGATTCAGCATTATTTACAAAAAATGACAAATACAGATGCAAATTTGAGTGTGAAAAACTTCAACAATTTTTTATCAGCGCTGCTTTTAATTCTATTATTGCTTTATGGATATTGGTATCGGCAAATAAATGATGATTTATTTCATTGCAGATGTGTGCTACTGGCCTTCCACATGATGTGATGAGATTCACGCTGCAGATCCACACTTAAAGAGTTTAAAGGATTGGGAAGGCAAGATGCTGGCAGTGCGAGTTTTTCAACGTGATATAATATGGATCTCATAATAGTAATTTGGTCACACTTTACAATAAGGTTCATTAGTTAATGTTAATTAATGCATTTACTAACATGAACAAACAATGAACAATACATTTACTATTGTATTTGTTCATGTTAGTTAACGTTAGATAATGAAAATACAGTAGTTCATTGTTAGTTCATGTTACCTCATGGTACATTAACTAATGTTAACAATCATGGACTTGGATGTTAATAATGCACTAGTAAATGTTCAATTATGATTAATAAATGCTGTACATGTGTTGTTTATGATTAGTTAATGTTAGTAAATGCATTAACTAATGAACCTTATTGTAAAGTGTTACCAGTAATTTGTAAATAACAGAAAAATCTAGACATTTCCTTGGTTTGTTTTTGCAGTTAAAGTTTTAAAATAAAATCAATAGTCCACTACACCATTCAGTTTGGTCTCTGTAGTCAAGCTTAAAAACATTAATAACAACATTTCTATTCATTTGCCTATATATACTGGGTATTGGTTTCTGCATAATATTAAGAGTATTGTATTGACCAGTATTTCAATTTCTGAGCATCCTTATTTTTTCACCATTAAGATTTTTTTAAAAGTGTGTTTAAGACTTTTATAACTACAACCTCATGAGTGTATATAAAAAGATTTAATACCATAACAACATGAGTTTGTTATTGATCAGTAGGCACTGGTATCTAGGCCTTCACAGATGTGGAAGTATCTGATATTTGAATTACATTCATAAAAAAAGGAAGTTTGTAAAATACCTGCAGCGATCAGCATGGAGCAGAGATGTGGAGAGCCCTGACTGGCAGCTAAATGAAGAGGACTGTTGCCCCCGTAGGTACAGGCATTCACATCAGCCTTCAGCTGTAACAGAACAAACATTTAACTTTGAGAACAAAACATTGGTGGTGGCTGTTTTCTGTACTAAATATAGGAGAACATTAGCCGTGTACTGAATCTTATAAAAATTTGCATAAAAATGAAAAAGAAAATCCCCAAATGCAAATTAGGCCTGTTTCCAGAGCTGTACCAAAATGTGAGGTCAGTAAATGTTCTTTAAGAAAATTTTGATTTAGCAGGGAAGCATGACATTATCAATTAACATACATTGCAAACGTTTCTATTTCAAATTAATGTTGCTCCTTTGAATTTTATAATGATTAGAGTAAAACTCAAAAATATTAAACAGGACAGTTGTTTTCAACATTGAAGGTAATTTTAAGAAATATTTATTTTAAGAGCTTTTAACAACATTTATTGTACTATACACATTTTCTACTTGGTAAACTGGACTTGTAATAGTAGTATAACAAGTACAATTAAATGTAACTGTGACCACAGGACTATGAGAAATCTTAACGGTCCAACATCTTTACCTCAGTGATGAGATTACAGGCCAGTTTCAACAGGTTGTCCCTCACTGCCAGGTGCAGTGCAGTGCAGCCACTTTTCTGCTCTGGCATGTTAATCTTTGCTCCTGCTTCTACCAGCAATCGCAAACAACGCTCTCCATCTTTCTTCACAGCGAGATGGACTGGATACTGACCTGTAAACAGTGAAAAAAAAAAAAAAACTTAATATGTGCTGTAAAATTCCATGCAACCATAAGTGACATTTTAACAGAAGGTGTGTGTCTCGTCTCACCTGTGAAGTCAGCACTGTTTATTAAATGGGAGTGATGCTCTCCTAGCAGGCTCAGGACCAGTCTTAGTATGACATCATCACCAGTATGTGCGGCCAAGTGAAGCACTGTCCGGCCCTCTCGGTCCAGCAGACTCGGGTCTGCACCCGATTTCATCAACATCTCTACTAACTTGGGTTGCTTGGTGATCACAGCCAGATGCAGAGGAGCCTGGAGATGAAAGAAAATAGAATGTAAAAAAAAATAATAATAATAAAATGCTACATACATATATGTATGTATGTATGTATTTACATGAATATATAACATATGAATAATAAAATAAAATCATCAGATTATGCATTTTAAAAGTATTTCTACAATATATTTATTGTAAATTACCTGACTGAGCTTGTTGAGTTTGTTAAAGAACTTCTGCTGTGGGCTGCTGTTCAAGGCCTTAATAAGCTGTTCCGCCACAACAGTTTTCTGGTGAATAATGGCCAAGTGAAGAGGCCTATTGGAAATTAAATATAATAGTTTAAAACAAACTCTAATTACTAAAGTACAAATGTATATTCAAATTAAACTCACTATATTGTAACAATTGACTTTAGATGCATTTAGCAGATAAATTAATCCAAAACAGCAAACTTTACTTTAATATAAATCAAGATATTAAATCACAGAGAGCATATACAAGCTAAAAAGCAGAGATGTGGAAAAGACATACGTGTCTCCGTTCTCATCTTGCACTCCACACAGATGTCTCTGCAGCGCCAGCAGGGGGCGCGCATCACCTGTGCTGCTGTACTGTAATAAAGCACGAGCATTGCATTTTGCCGCCAAATTAGCACGATTGTGTAGAGCTGTGAGTGAAAACAACAGGAAGGAAACATGCATGACTGAACACCACAAATGTCTTGAGTTTAAAAGTATACTTCACCTAAAAATCTAAATTCTATCACCATTTGTTCATCCTCAACCTGAGTTTTTTTTTCTGTTGAAAACAAAGAAAGACATACCGAAGAAGGCTAAAAAAGCAGCCAATGACTTCTATGGGATTTTTTTGTTTCCACTATGAATGTCAATGGCTGTTTTCCACCCCAACATTCTTCAGAATATCTTGTTTTGTGTTCAACAGAAGAAAGAAATTTATACATTGAACCACTTGAGTGTGAGTAAATGGTGAGGAAACATGAATATGTGGGTAAAGCATTACTTTAATGATAGCTGAAATAAAATGACACTCACCAATCTGAATGAGCTGTTGTCGTATTTGTGAGTTCGACTGAGACTGTGTGTTTGCTCCATCAGTTTGAGGAGGGGAGTCAGACATTTGTGCACCCCCACCAAATCCTCCACATCCACCAACAAAAAAACTTGAATTATCCATCGGATTAAAAGGGAAACCTGCAGGCATCAAAAGATAAATATATGAGCACTACTGCTGAAAGATAAAATAATGAATTGAACTGAAAACCTGCATAGCCTTCGAGTTTGTGGAATGTCTCACCTCCTCCCATTCCTCCTCCTCCTCCTGTTCCAGATCCAGGTCCTCCAAACCCCCCTGCTCCACCCTGGGGTCCTCCACGCCAGCCACCATAATGATCTGGAAGAGCCTTCATCCTCTTCCTCTGAACCTCTTCTTTGTCTAGGAAGTGGACAGGAGACAAATTGTCATTGGATAGATCAATAATGCACAGTACTGTGCAAAAAACTGTGGTAATAAAAATGTATAATTTAACAGTCCAGGGTTATTTAAAGGGATAGTTCACCTAAAAATGATTATTCTGTCATTTCCTCACTCTTAACCTATTCCAATCTAGTTTGATTTTGTTGTTCTGTTGAACATATAAGAAGATATTTTGAAGAATGTTGGGAACTGGTATCCATGGAGGTCCACAGTAGGAAAAACATATACTATGAAAGTCGATGGTTACTGATTTACAACATTCTTATAAATATCTTATTTTGTGTTCAACAGAAGAAAGAAACTCAAACAGGTTTGAAGCAAGTCAAGGGCAAGTAATTGATGACAGATTTTTCATTTTTGGGGGAACAGTCCCATTAATTGACGCTTTCGGCTTTAAACTGATCAAAAATGACATTATGAAAGGTTACATAAAGACATTTTGCACAACTGATTTCTATAAGTATGATAATAATAATGAGAAATGTTTCTTGAGCAGCAAATCTGATACTGAAGATTTAATGAGTAAAGTCTGCTGAAAATTCAGAAAAGAATAAATTACATTTTAAAATAGACATAAACCAACTCAAAATCAAAAGACAAACATGCTATATGATATGTTCTGCAGCACTACTCACACCTTTCTAACACATGTGAGAAGTGGTGGTAGTACTAATAATAGTAACTATAATAATAATAATAATAATAATAATAACAGTAAATCAATAACCTATAGGAAAAAATAATAACAGCCATAATAAGAGCAACGGCAAAAAAGAAGCCATAAAGAATACATCACATGGTAACTTAATATAAATGAAATGTTAATAAGAAAATAAAGGCTTAAAAGAAAGCATTCAAAGAGTAACACATTGGAAGGAAGAAAAAGAAGGGAACTAAAGGTTACCAAGAGCTACACACTGAAAGGAATAAAAAGGGAAACTAAAACATATAAAGATCTTAATAATAGAAGTGATCACAAAAAGTTATTTTAAGTTTTAATATATTTTAAAACATACTACTATATTAGGTTTTATTAGGTGTAGATTTGATCAAATAAACCAGTGAGCATTTGTGGTGTCTGTAAAATTAAGTTTAGGTGGTAAAACCTAAATGTTGAAAAAAAAAAAGACTCTTGTGCTCACCAAAATGTAATTTAAATAAATGAAATGTATATTTTAATTCTCAGAGATGGGATTTAAATACAAATAGTATTGAACAGCACTACTAACCTTGATTGTGTGGGACATATGTGAACTGCTTTGGTTCGCTACAGTCGCCGCCCTTCTTTCTCTTAAGCTGCAGAAACACTGTGACAGGTCGATCGATGTTGGTGCAGCGGTACGGAGGCGTCTTAAACACGATCGCATACTGACAGACACACACACACAAAACACTGTTTAAGTAAAGGTTGGATCTAAAAGTAATCAACATTTGATGTGGATCAAAAAACTTTTTCAAAATTGCCCTAAGACAAGATTGGGTGTCGTTGTATAGTTTAAGTAGGACTTTGATAAAAGGGTTTGATCCACTTTAAACATTCACTACTATATATATTTATATATATAAACTCAATCCAAAATAAATGCATTAATTTGTAAAACACACCTGTTTGTGGACATCAGTGGGGGAAAAGTCTCCTAATGCCTCCCATTCATCTTCCTCCTCATAAAAGCGGATGTCAATATCATCTGGAGAACAAAGGAGCAGAAACAGCATTTGATCTAAACTGTTGTAGAATATCTTAGTAAAATGATCATAATCACAATAAAAAAGCTAATAACCTTTTTGAACTTTATCACAGAGCAGAAAGACCTCTTCTCCTCCCAGCACTGACCCAGAGGTTTTATCCATACGAGAGATCTTCAGATTGGAAGCGTTTGGTGATTCTGGGTAAAGAGCAACACATTTTACATTATTTTATGACAAGATTATCAAGACATTTTTTTTACCCTAAACTGTTCTTGTTAAAAATTTTAGAGGGAGCAAGATTAAGAGTAAGATTCATCTTCACCATATATTTGATAAATATTGTAGATACTTTATTGTTGAGGTCTTAAATAAACATTTATAAACAAATAAAAAATTTATTAAACAAATTTAGTAAATTCATTTGCAATATAATTTTCAGCATAATTACTCCAGTCTTTAGTGTCACAGGATCATTCAGAAATTGTTTTGATACTTATTATTACTCTGTAATGAATATTTATAAACATAAAATTATTTAACATCTATTCTTATTTGTTCTACAAACAGCTGTATTGCTCAATATGTTTGAGGAAACTTTAATACATTTTGTGATATAAATAAAATATTAATGTCAGAATATTGTGTTTACTAGCATTTCTTTTATCAATTTAATGCACCTTTTTATTATTATTTTTTATTCACTAACTAATTTATAATGGTCAATCTTAAAATTATATATTTTATGTTCCACGAGGCCTAATTAGATTACATTTCATATTTATAATGTATACTTTAGCAGAAAAAAATAAATTAAAATAAAAACTAAAGAAATTAATTATATTAATAATGATGTTATAATAAACTAAACAAAGAACAACATGGAAATTACAAAAAATAATAGAAACTGTACAGGATTTAGTACATACTGCTGATAAATAAAAGGCTACTTTAATATATTCATAAAATGTATGATATACAGTTCAAGTCAGATTTATTAGCCCTCCTGTGATTTTATTTTCTTTTTTAAATATTTCCCAAATGACGTTTAACAGAGCAAGGAAATTTTCAAATCTTCAAATGTCACTTTAAGCTGTATACAAGTGTCTTGTATAATATCTAGTCAAATATTATTTACTGTCATCATGGCAAAGATAAAATAAATCAGTCATTAGAAATGAGTTATTAAAACTATTATATTTAGAAATGTGTTGAAAAAATCTTCTCTCTGTAAACAGAAATTGGGGAAAAAATAAACAAGCTAATAATCCTGTCTTCAACTGTATATGAACTTTTCTCTCTTTTTTATTTTACTGTGTAGTTTTCGTGTAGCAGGACTTACTGCTGTCATATATAGGATTGGACACAACAGGCTTCAATGCTCTGGTGTAACTCCCATTGCTGTCCTGCAGGTAGGCAGTGAACTTTAAACGTACAATGTTCAGATCCATGTTTTTGCCTAACTCTTTGGCTTCTTGCATAAGAGCATTTTCCTCTGCATCTGCAAGAGTGAGAAAACAAGAAACATTACATCAGAAGAAGACACAAGCAGCAAAAAGACAATTCAATAGTTATCGTATATATATATATACGATATAGTATAACTCTCACCACTAAACTTATATCCAGGCCCTTTCACCTTCCTCTTCTCTTCTTTCAGCCTTTTCGTTAAGACTTCTACCACTCCTCTCTTTGTGACATGCAGGATGCCTAAGTTACTGAATCTAGGCACAGATTGCACAATAAACACACAAACAGCACATGACAAAGTTGCACAGACAATCTAGCTTAATCATAATAACAAGGAAAAAGATCATACGAGCAGTAATCGCGTTCACTCACTGTGCTGTGAAATCACTAGGCCCGACATCAACACTGCAGACCCCGCTTTCATTACAGTGTCGACCCACAAGGCTGTGTGCGTGAACTCGTGGAGGGTCTGTGTGTGTCACCAGCTGAACCTCCACACGAGCATTGCCCACAAAGTTTAACACCTGTAGATAACAGTCAAAACGTTATAATATCAGCAAGACTTTATATATTAAAGTGAATTCCGCTCACTATGTAGGGCTGTGCAATTTGACGATGTGTAGTATGGACAAAATAAAAATAGTTTATCGTTTCATATTATGCTCTATTATTTTGTGATGTCACTAAATATGTTGTTTATTGTTAAACTATTTCATAATTTATGCGAGCGCAATATTAAATGATAATGCAGTCAGAAACATGAATAACAGCATCATGGGAAAGATGCATGCTTGTTTGTTGTTAAGCAACACCAAAACAGATTGACAGAATACATGGAGTATAGTCAGTAACAATATACACATAAATAAGGAGGAAAAAAAGAGCTAACGAAAAAATAGTAAATAAATAAATAAATAAATTAAATAAAATTGTTTAGAAAAAAACATAATGGGCACATATAAAAGTATGGATATAGTATTTAAAGCTAGTACATAAAAAAGATGATAATAATAATAATAATAATAATAATAATAATAATAATAAGAAGAAGAAGAAGAAGAAGAAGAAGAAGAAGAATGTTGACAAATAAAGTAGTGGGTGTAGGGAACAGAGGAGCAGTGATAGCTTTAATAATAAGATTAATATTAATAAAATAATAATAATATTAATAATAGGAATAATAATAATAATTATTATTATTATAGTAAAGTATGTATTACAGTGATACATTTTGAATTGTATTAAGTGTTATGTTTTTATAATGAACTTGTAATCTTTAGTTTGTGAATAATTGTAATATTTATTTTAGATTTTTTACATTTTAATCAAACATTTAAACATTTAAAAAAGGTGAGAAATATGATCATATGTGAATCAGTACATAGTCCTTTACATGTGGTCAATTTATGACCTATTAATTGATTGATTTACAGAAATGGTACCATATTGTAATATTTATTTGATCAAATATAAAATAAAATCTTATAAGTTTGGATTATTACAACAACAACAACAACAAAAGGAAGGTAATTATTATTACTCCACTATTCAGTGTCACAAGATACTTCAGAAGTATTCATTGCTACTCAATCATTAATAGTCATATATAACTATTGTACTTTGTCCTGCTTCATAGTTTTGTGGAAACTGATTTAATTGACTATTGAAAATTCACTTTTAAAATTTAGAGTGCAAAATAATATTATTTATTTAAACAAACAATGTGTTTTTTAATATATATTTAACATCATAATTAACACATTTAAAAAACTCCCCTCTCTTAACTTTAGCACTTAATTCTTTGAGCACAAACAGTCCCTGTATAATTAGCACTCTTGTGTGTACTGCCTTTTGTTGAATCACTAATACCTCCTTAACTGTAAGTCACATTGGACAAAAGCTTCTGCTGAATGACTAAATGTTAATGTATCATTCAATCTTATCTTTACTTTAACTCTTGTAAAATTTAAAGTATCTTAAGTTGGATAAAATTAACTACATTTTTACTGGTAGTTTTGAATGGTACCGTGTCACAAACTATGAAGTAGTCAATGTGATAATAATAATAATATTAATGATAATAACCTTGACAGTGGGATACGTCCTCCTGTTCCTTTCACTGGAGGCCCCTGGTAGGCCACCGTGGGATGGGCCCTCACATTCATAACGAAATCTGAATCCTCTCTGAAACACACAATGTTATTTACATAACACCTTCCTCACTGATAAAAAAAACTCTATTTGGGGAATTCCATTGCATACATTCTGGAATTATCCCACATTATATGCACATATAGTGACACATGCTTACAAAATGACTTGTACTGTACATTATTTGATCACTTTTAACATTTGAAGATAGTTTGGAAGGTCCCACCTGCTTTGGCTCCTCAATTATCTGTATGTAAGGGCCATCAACTGAAAAAACAAAGACAGCACTTAGCAATAAGACTTTTCTCCAATTAAATTAAAAGAACAACGCAAAGCAAGACATAAAAAGCATTAATAAAGCACGTTGTTAGCTTACCTGTCTCTTGCACAAAGGGCTCATGCTTCACCTCAAAAGCTTCAGGCATATATGGAAGATCGTCATAGGCTGAAGGAAACGTCATAGGCTGAAAATGACATGTGTACATCATCAGTATGTGAATATTGTATTTATGTGAGTATAACATACAAATATTTAGGACAAAGGTAACATGCCTTAGGATGAAAACTAACAATGCACCAGTTTTATAAAAAAGTTTGTTACGAGGATAATTCTGCTGATGTACTGTAAACTATTATGTCTATATAAAAAAACAATGTACTACAAGTAAATTTAGACAACACATCAAAAGGTATGCATAAATGAGGCATCAAAATGAAATTGCTATTATTGCAATATAGCTTGCTCATAAATGTGCAGACTGCGATTTGATCAATGTGAAACCAGTTTCAGGATGAAGTGTGGCATCGTAAAGGCATTAAATGAACGTTTCAACCTTAAACATTCACATTTATTTGACTATGACCCATCAAAATTAATGTTTTTGTTTATAAATAAATCTGATTAACAATTTTTTGGAGTGAAACATATGATGCATGTTTATGCTTTGTGTAATATATTGTGCAATAATAAACTAAATTAATTCATTTATATTCATATATTTTATTTTTACTATATTATTTCAAAATTACAAAAACAACATGAAAGCTACACACTAAATTAAACATAATTTTGCTCAAATTCTCCAATAAACTATTCCAGTACTCTACTGATTTCTATAATAATAATAATAATAATAATAATAATAATAATAATAATAACAATAATAATAATAATAATAATACAATTTCTATAATCTATAACTTCCCAATAAAACATTCTTCAAAAATTGCCTTTCAAATCTTTAATATTATGGCATTGAAATTCTTTACATTAAAGTTTTTCCAGTTTTTTAAAATTATTATTATTTTCTATTTAAGTAAACTAAAATTAATAATAATAATAATATTAATAATTATTATAATAATTCCACCAACTCTGGAATGATTATTTCCAAATAACACTATTGATTGTGAAAATTCCTGTATTTTTATAGCAGAAAACTATAAAACTATAAAACAGTGTCAGTTGATTCTTATATAAAACAGTCATATAATGTGCAATATGAATATTCAAACTGAAATTTGTAAAAAACAAAATAAAGTAAAAACATTTTAAATATAATTTTAATAAATTATGGATATTTTTAAAATTTCTAACAAAATCCTAATCTAAAAATATGAAATTCACCATTAAAAATTAAACCAGTTTAGATTGATACCAATTTTATAATCAACATAATTCTCATCCACAGCACATCACAAGTATATCTAAATGCAAAACATGTAGTAAGGAAACTACAGTAAAAGACAAAATGTGGCTCACCTCATTGACCACAAATCCAATTTGATAATGTGTATCATCCATCCTGTAATGTGGAAAAACAGAAAACTGTTGTTGAGACTGTCTCACACAGACACCAATCCAGAATTGCTAAAAACCCACAAGGCCCGTCGCTAAAATAGTCAGTGTGCTGAATCAAAACATCAACTGAGCTGCAAACCCCGACACATGCATTTCATTTCCCCAGTTTTTCCCCCACGGCAGTGATGTGACCTACACAGAAAAAGACAGACGCTTACCCTGTCTGACAAACAAATGTAGAGACAGAAGCTCTCGGTTTTACACAAAGGGCTCAAAAAAACTGAGTTTGTTTCACTTTCTCGGATATGTGCATTATGTCTCCCTCCCTCTCTCTGGCTCGCTTGATTGCTACTTCCAGGAAGTAAAGCAGTGAAAAAAACAGAGGAAAGCCCCCAGAATACCAGCTCACTACTGCCACTAATGTCAAATTCAGAGAAATGCAGGTACAAGAATATTCACATGCTGACATCAACCTTCTCAAATCTGAATTTCCTCAACTTTCCAAATGCTCTTTTAATTCCCTTCCTTTCTTTTGAGGTACTTTTGAAACAAAATTCCTATGATTACCTTTTTCAGCCTTATTTTGTTGAAGAAAATCCAAAAATCCACCTATCTGTAATTTACTGAAAATACACAGATTTCTCATTAGGACAATCTGCGGAACTGACTTAGACTGAACTGTTAATGGGGTGAAAGTCAGGGACTGCCCCCCATCTGTTAGTCAGCCACAAATCTTTTCAAGCACTTCCTCTGTAAATCAAATAGAAATTCTGATGAAGATCTAAAAAATGATCCTTTTAACACATGACAGAAATAAAGTTACACCTCATTACACTTGATAGCATGATTGCACAAGTTTTTTCTAAGCCTGCCACTGACAGGAATGAGGAAGTGTCCATGTCCATCTCTTTAGGATGAGTTGTACCAAGACTGCACTACAATACTAGATACTCTTCACGTACAACCATGGGAAAACTAGCGAAGTAAACTGTGAATTTTCCTTCTGAGGTGTCAGGGCTCAGTTTGAGTTAAACTGTGAGTTTTGACGTCAGAAAAAAGAGAGTAAAACTCTACTGGATCATAACCACATCCTGTCCTTCTTCTTTGAAATGATAGCATCTTCACTTGTCAAACAACCCCTAAATTACAATAACGTCAAATATGAACAACAGGTAAATTCATAAAGAAAATATGTAAAAGTGAGACAATGTTACATTTACAGTAAGGTTAACCATTTGGGGTGATCAGAAATAATTCAAAGCAACAACTATTTAAAAAAAGGTCAATAATAGGTAAATAAAATGACAATAACATTTAGTCTAAAGCAGAAGACAAATTCTCAATGTTAAAATGGTTTTGACATAAAACAACAAAGACCTGATGTCCACCAAGGGGCCTCAGTAAATTGCCTAGAATGACTACAAAATGGTTTGAAATGAATACTTTTTACATAATCCAACTGAATAAAATACTAACAACAATATTAATTAATTAAAATATATATGTAAACCGACATCTAATTACTTTTTTTAATTAAACATAGAAAGTTTTGGAATAAGAAAAAGGTATTTTAGTCTGTTATTTTACTGTTATTTACTGACACTCAAATAAAAAAAGTGTCTCATGGACAAAACACATTCTAATGTTCTTAACATTAAAGACCTTCCCATAATCTTTTAAATAGACACAATATATATATATATATATATATATATATATATATATATATATATATATATATATATATATATATAAAATAAAAAAAAACTGTTTCAACTGTTCCATACATGATGTTGAATGGCAATTCAATAGTAATGGTTAATTGTTGTATCTAAACCCCCTATTTATTTACATATTGCAAATACATCTGTTTCGACATGTAAAATAGTCTACAAATGTAATAACCTTTGATAAAAACCTTTAATAATTTAAAGCATGCATAGTCTCATGACCAAGTGAGCTGCCAGCATTTATGACCATCTAAACGATGAAATGGCCAGCCATGCCCAATAAAAGGCTGCATATGTTGACAGCTCAAAAGAAAATGAAACAGCTATAGTGGATAAAACTGTACCTTAGTGCTCCAGCCATTCTGTGCTCTCCAGGATCATCCGAACCGAACCTGGGCTCCTGTCAGACCGAAAAAGATGGATCTGATGAGTGATTACACGCTGTATGATGGGGTTGTGATTCCCCTGCAAGTCAGATCCAAAAAGTACATCTGACTTTTGATGGGAATTTCCCACAGACTAACACGAACAGCAGTAAAACATATGGGACAAATCTTGTGCAGTACTCAAAACACATAACTGATATTACTAACCATTGTTGTATAATTGTTAATTATGCATTTGCAGTATCACTGTAACGTTAGCTATACCTTCGACATCATATGAACTGTACAGCATCTCTGCATTGTAACGTTTTCAAAACAAGCTTAAAATAGATGCACTAAGAAACTAAATCCTTATTTCCAAAACAGAAAGTAGACTATTTTCATGCTGTTTAAAAAGAGGCATGCTCTACAACAAAAATCTACGGTACTAATGCAAATATATATTTGGCATGATTGCATATCAAACTAACCTTGCGTCTTGTTTACTAGTTGTCGGGTTGTTTTTACAAGTCGTCGAGTCAACTAAACACTGTTAATAAATTTTCACAGGTTTGAAGACCATAAACAAAACATCGTTTATCCAGTGAATCCAGAGCATGTAATCAACGCTGTATTCGCCTGGATCCGTTCACAAATTGATCGCTCTGTTACTGTGGAAAGCCCCGACTCGGGGGGAATTCCAGTCACATGACGTGCGAGGGGAGTTTAGATTGGTTATGAGGCGGAACAGATTTGCATGTTCTTCAAAACTTCCGGCTCAAAATAGTCTATTTGCTTCTTTCATGAAATCCAGTTATGCTAAACTAAAGGTCAAAAGCAAAGTTTTGTATGATTTGACAAAAAATTCTGATGCCAATTCTGATTAGTTAATAACATTATACAACATGTTTTATACTATAATGTGTAAAAATGTTTTCATTATCGACTATCACAATACAGTCTGAGATTATACTTATTTTATATTTTCATTAACCAACATTGTGGTTTAATTACTAGAGACTAAACAGGAGCCCTTAAAACATTTGGGTGTACATAAGTAGTACACTAAAGGGCCAATATACTCACAACAAAATTCTACTATTTTAGAAGAAAAAACATGTATTTCAACCTAACATTTACACCTAAAAATAATATATAACTTTTCTGTATATGTAGTTTCAATTTGCAAATTTCAGTTCTTCTGGATTTTAAAGATTTGGGTTTGAGCAAAATGTTAATATCGGTTTCATTCTTTAACTGGCTGAACCTTCCAAATTATGTAAAGTATTATTACTTAGTGCATATTTAGAGCATCTTTTTTATCTCCAGAAAATGAAAATTGGTCAGATGACAAATGTATGCATTTGCTGTGGTAAAGATTATTTTACCAATTCATCTTCTTAAGTTAAAACATTATTATTTTGTTGTCTAAAATGTACAGTTGAAGTCAGAATTATTAGCCCCCCAGAATTATTTGCCACCCTGTTTAATTTTTCCCCAATTTCTGTTTAAGGGAGAGAAGATTTTTTGAAAACATTTCTGAACATAATAGTTTTAGTAACTCATTTCTAAAAACTTATTTATTTTATCCTTACCATGATGAGTAAATAATATTTGACTAGATCTTTTTCAAGACACTTCTATACAGCTTAAAGTGACATTTAAAGGCTTAACTAGGTTAAAAAGGTTAACTAGGCAGGTTAGGGTAATTAGGCAAGTTATTGTATAACAATGGTTTGTTCTGTAGACAATCGGAAAAAAAAATTAGCTTAAAGGGGCTAATAATTTTGTTTAATATTTCTGACTTCAACTGTATATAAACTGTCTGAATCCAAAGAAGTGACAAGTGGTCTCTTAAATCGCCCCTATTATGTGTTTTTGAAAATGACCTTTCATGCGGAGTTTAACACAGCACTAATTGAATGAAAACATCCAGCTGAGGTTTAAAACTGAAAGTGCATCATGCTTAAAAAATTGATTCTTTAACAAAATAGTCGACTCATAGTTGAATAAATGAATCGTGTTGGGTTCGGATCTTTTTGCTTGAACACATTGACGTCAATACTGTACATAACCAAATATGAAGTGCTAGATCCGGTAAACGGGAATGAGCCTTTCACTTGAGACACTAGCAGAGTGAGGGGGATCACGGCACTGATCACACAAAGATGATGATCACTAACAGATGGCGATTCGGCTACAGGGAATTAAGGGCTAACATTTATTTTCACAACAATACCACAGTATAGCCAACCCAGTGCTGTGATTGTTCCTGTCATTTTTTGATACAATAACCTGCTGTACGCTGCAACACGGAATTTGTCAGCTGTTTGCTATTAAAGGAAGGAGCTGCATAGATTATTATGTATAGGATTTTGACAGACTTTGACAGGGACTTTGTCAGTAACTGTTACAGTTCATATGGATCAGTTTGTTCTTCCTCTGGATCATAACATGTAAGTGTTATTAAAATTGTTGCCTAATTTTGTGTAGTTTGCAAAATATGTATGTGTGTTGTAACTTGTAATCACCCCCTGTGACTTAAAATCACATGTCTGTTATAGATCAGTGCTTGTAATGTATCTCTCAGGTTAAATGTGTATGGGCGATTCACATATCATGTCCAAAATGTTAAAAATGCCTCTTTCTTTACAGATTTAAATGCGTTTTTGAACTCGCTATCCTCTGCAACCATCAGCTGTTTCTACACACAAGTGGTGCGTATATCTTCAAAATAGTTCAACTTATAATAGTTCAGCAGATTAGCCTCACGCAAAGGAGGGGTTTGAGAACAAATGAATCGCTGAACAGATTGTATGGGAGTCTTTGCCATAATTAGGTAAAGACAATAATTACAAGACAATGAAAGTGTTTTAGACATGATTGCATGCATATCAGCCTGTTGTTAGAGACCCCAACACCAAAAAAATGACCTTTTATAATGCATAGTAGAAGCCCTTTAATAATGTTTCTTAGCATTAGCAACATTTAAAAATAAAAAGCATCATCCACCCATCCTTTTTCTACAACAATTTATCCAGGGCCAGGATAATACACGTTTTTAAAAATTCAGACAGTTTAATCATTGTCAGTAAAAATAGACGGCATCATCTGAATAGACATCATGTCTCAGGTGAGCTGAAGTCTAACAATAAAAAGTTCTGAATGACAGGAATGCTGTTTTCATCACACTGGAAATGGCTTCGGACAGTCAGGAGAAATGTGTTCTTCATGGGGTTCAGTATGGAGCTAATCCTGTTAGCTACTACCTGGATGAACCTCACTTCAGATGCTGGGGCTAGGAACAAACAGAATAATGCTGCTTAAATTAACAATAAGAAAATGCAACAACATACAAACACATGGCATTGCTTGAGAAGAGGGAAAAGAAGAATTAGCTCACCAACAGACTTATGTAGTCTATCCGGGGGTGTGTTCAGAAGGATCTTCTGCACTAGAGCAGGAGGGACTTGCACACAGATTTGATCACCTCCAGCTCTCACCGTTAAAACAACAGATCTAGAAAGACAAGTCATGTCATGATCTAGACTACGGAACTGGGTAACTTTTTCCACCAGACTAATAGAAAGCTGAAAAATATGAATACATTAGGTTTTATTTATATTAAGTTACAACATGTTTTAGCACATAACATACTGCTAACATTTCACTAGCAAGATTAACATTTTGCTAGTATGTTTTAGCATGAGATTTAGCTTGTTGCTAGCAAAACTGATTACATTTCTGCATGTTTAGCACATTATATATTGCTACTTTGTCACCTTAATGATTACCACAATTTCTAGTATGTTTTAGCATGACACTTTGTTTGTTGCTAGCATGATTTTAGCCATGCTGATAACATTTTAGCACATACAGTACAGCTTATGACTAATGTCACTAGTATGAATAACATGTACACATTTTATTATCAGCGACAAATTGTTTATTTTAACATTAGATAATATTTAACCCAGGTGCACTGTTCAAATGCTCTACCCTTTTGTTATATTATGGATGAAGGCATCCACTGAATTAAACGGCAGTAAAAATGCATTATATATATGTGTATATATATATATATATATATATATATATATATATATGTGTGTGTGTATATATATATATATATATATATATTTTTTTTTTCTTTTTCAATTTATTCTGCACGAAACTGTTAATCAACCCCAGTGCTGATAAAAACTACTAAATGTTTAAAAAATACAGGATTTTAACTCTTTTGTTGCCCCATTGACTTTCATTATAACCAAATTTGATAGTGCATAAATACACAGTCTTTGTTTTTATGTACTCCATGTAGTTCTGAGAGCTGAGATGCATATTTCGATTTTCTCAGACACATAAAGGTAAGTGTGCAAAGGTCACTCACACATATACACACACTTTAACTTGCTGTTATTTAAAATCCAGAAACTAATGGTGCCAACTGATGATCAACAGTAGAAATTACCAATTTTACCTCTTCCCAACCTGAAAATCCACCAACCAAAATGCATGATTATATGCTGTCATGGTTTTGTAATCAAAAAAACGTGGTTATAATGGAAGTCAATGGGGCAAAACAGCCACCAACAGTAAATTAGGGAACAACAACTAAAATTAATGAAAAACAATGTATCAAAGGCAATGTTGTTTCACATGTCCAAGACTTTGATAAAAGGTCTGCTTTTTCCACCAAATCAGTGACATCATTTATGAATTTGGCATTTAAAGAGTTAAAATAATGTAAGTTTCAAAGCATTTGGCAAGTTTGATCAGGACTGAAGTTGATTTATCAAATTTATGCAAGAAAAATTATCTAATGCGTTTTCACAGCAGTTTAATTCAGTGGAAGTTTTCATCCCTAACATAACTAAAGGGTAGTAAATTTGCCCAGAGTGTATTGTTGAGTTAAGAATGTAAAAAAAAAAAAAAAAAATCTAAGCATTTTCTTAAAATATTTGTCACCAAAAATCCTTCTGCTAGCTGAAACACAGAAAATGTTATGGCCAAATTAAGACTCAAAATCACCCCAGAGTGGATGAAAACATCCCCGACAGTATACAGTATAAAGGTTAAACTAAATATCATTTAAGTTTGACTGAAACTATGACTTATCTCTCATGTAAAACAAATACATATGAATGTATAGCTAAAGAGATATAACAAAACAGAGATAGGACCAGACCTATAGTAGCGGCGCACTCCTGTATGTGGTAGGCAAGGGTAACAGGGTCTGTATATGCCGTTTTCATCTGTCTCCAGCTCTGCAGAGCACTGGCTGCATCCAGCAAAAGTGACATCACCAGAGACAACACCTATGATGCCCTCCAAGGTTGTGCTGCCATTTATTAACAGAGAAGCCTCCTGGGACGGACTGGTCTGGAACTGGAAAGCTGTGATTTTAACTTTCAGTTCGACATCACCTAATGAGTACATAAACAAGAGAGTCTTAATGAAACTATGATTAGTTACACTAATGGGACGTAAATAAAATGTCGTACCAGAGTATTTCTGAGACAGGAGTGTGCTGAGATCAATCTCAAAGCAGCTAGCAGTCCTTTGAGAGCGGACAGTGTTGTAAAACTCCTTGCATCGACTGTCATCAGGAAAAAGAGGCTGACAGGTGCCCCACGGAGTCGAATGCAGCTCTAGCAAGCCTGAGGTCACGTCCTGTCTGACTAGCAGCATCCTGAATTCCCACACAGAATCTGTGAGGTGCATTAACAATTCAGATGAGGCATATTAATACAATTAATTCCAGAATTTGTAACATTGCTAGCATGTCTCTAGAATTTCTTTTCACAAGGTTTATAGCAAGTGTTAACATTATTCTACCATGCCACTAGCATGATTAACATGTTGCTAGCATTCTTTTGCAGAATGTAGCACTGCCCCCAAGTTTTTAGCATGATGTAAAACTGTCTCCATATTAACGTTTCTAGCATGTTTTAACATGTTTTTCAAAAAGTTAAAGATTATGTTTTAGCACATTGCTAGCATGTTTATTGGAAATATTAACATTATGTTATGTCGCAAGCATTATTAACATGTTGCAAGCATATTTAAACACAATGCAACCCTGCTTTTACATTAACATGTTTCTAACATGATTTAACATATTAGCATGCTTTAGCATGATGTTAAACTGTCTCCATATTAACGTTTTTAGTATGTTTTTTAAAATATTTAAGATTGCTAACGTTTTAGCACATCGCTAGCATGTTTATAACAAGTAGGTCCATTACAATGACTGTAAAAAATATTGACGACGCGACAGCCCTTTTCCCCATTGAACGCCTTGAGGGCAAAACGCCTGCTTGACGGGCACAAACTGTCGCAAAAGACTGCTGAAATTGGAGCCAGACATGCGCAGAAGGATTGTCTGATGGAGCCAGAGGAGGAGCCGCGAAAATGAGCAGAGTCGAGCTTCCAACCAAACGCTTTATGTAAAATCAACCACGCCCCCCGAACTTCTCAGCATGCGTTTGCGGTCATATCAACACAAATGGATGTAATAACGTTAACAAATATGAGGGTTTTATATATTCAATCGCGCCAGCTCCAGGCCGCATCGCATAACTTACTCGCGGCGTCGCGGGCTGATTCCAGCTCGCATGCGGCAGCGCCGGCTCGCTCGGCCGCCGCATCTGGCTCGATTGACTCGGGCTGGAATTGGGTAGTGAGTCCAGGCATCCGCAGTAGGTCCAGCAGAGGTAACATTAGTCAGTCTGAGCTCTAAGAGATAAGTCTCCGGCAGGCGAGAATCTAGCCGGAACTGTGTTTTGCTATCTGGGTGGCTAGGCGTGTATCAGCAAACTAATAAAGCCCGAAAAAAGCCCTGAACTTAGCGAATAAACAGTGTTCCACCAGGATCATGTATGTCAGAAACTATAGTTTACTACTGAACTCATTTTGTCATGGTAAAATAACACAGAAATCGAATAATAACATTTCAGTCTACTTCAGTCTCCTGCCGAAGCTCAGACGCCGCGCTTTGAGAAACTGTCAATCACAGCTGTCAATCACGATGACACGCCCAGCATTAAATTACTGCTAAAAACAAACTGTTTACAAAAATGAAGATCTGCACCTATTTCAGCACAATAACCAGTGCCTTAATCGACCAGAGCTATCTTTCGGGACATTTTATTGCAAGTGTAATATTTTTTTTTATTTGGGCTCAAGTCTCCTTCATTAACACGGAGGAGGCGGGCTTTATGACTTGTACTGCAGCCAGCCCCCAGGGGGCGATCTAATGGCCGAAACCTTCACTCAAACGTAGGCTTGCGGCACACTTGGTCCATTAATATGCACTTATGTCACAGCATGAATAACATGTTGTTAGCATATTTTAACACAATGTAACCCGACCTTTATTTTAACATGTTTCCAGTATGTTTTTCCACACGATTTAAGACTGTTAGCTTGGTAACAAATTGCTAGCATGTTTATTGCATGTATTATCACTATGCTAGTATGTCACTAGCATAGAATAACATGCCTCCAAATTAAAATTTCTATTTTCTAATTTATTTTATTAGGTTTTTACATGGAATATCAACTACAACATTCAAGCTATGAAGGACTCCAAATAAACACTTCCCTCCCTCAACAGCCTATAACTTCCCATTGGAAATGCATCAAAAGAGGGTGGAGAGACATGTTTCCACTTTTAAAGGATGAGATGTCTCACTAGCAAAGTAGTAAAAGCTAAAGCCTTTCGGATCATTACTGAAAGGTTAGCATCTGCTGCCACACGAAAATGGCCAGAAGTGGATTTGTATGCAGATCTATGCCAAACGCATCTTTCAAAGTTTTAAATATTTTAGTCCAATAATTGAATAATTTATTACAAGATAGAAAATAAAACACACTGCTAGCATGTTTACAGTTTAGCAAGTATTACAATTATGGTAGTATGTAATTAACATATAGTATATGATTAACATATTGCTAGCATACCTTAGCACATGTACTGTAACAATGCCTCCATGCCGACGTTTCTTGCATTATTTAACATGTAAGCATGTCTTTCGCATTATGTAAAACACTTTCTCCGTATAAACATGTTTCTAGCATGGTTTTACAAGGTTTAAGATTGCTAATGTTTTACCACATTGCTGGCATGTTTATAGCAATAAATAGCATTATGCTGTTATGTAACTAGCATGACTAACATGTTTCTAACTTGATTTAACACTTTGTCTTCATATTAAGATGTTTCTAGCATGTTTGTTTACAAAATCTAAATATTCATTCATTTTCTTTTCGGCTTAGTCCCTTTCATAACCAGGGGTCACCACAGCGGAATAAACTGCCAACTTATCCAGCATATGCTTTACGCAGTGGATGCCCTTCCAGCTGCAACCCATCACTGGGAAACATCTATACACACTCACACACACATACTCTATGGACAATTTAGCCTACCCAATTCACCTACACCACATGTCTTTGGACTTGTGGGGAAAACTGGAGCATCTGGAGGAAACCCACGCAAACACAAGAAGAACATGCAAACTCCATACAGAAATGACAACTGACCCAGCCAAGGCTCAAACCAGCGACCTTCTTGCTGTAAGGCGACCGTGCTACCCACTGCACCGCCGTGCAGCCCAAAATTTAAATAGATAAAATAATAATAAAAAAACAATAAAACAAGACATTTAAAAATATACATTTTAGTTAGAATAATAACTAAATTTAATATTATATTTCACCCATTTAAAATATTAAAATTAAATATTAAAAATATATATTCATAAATGAAATTGATTAAACGTTTGCTAAAGTCCCCTAGTGGGCTTTGGCCTATGCTTAAGATTCACTGCTTTATAAAACACCTTTGTTCCTCTCCAAACGCTGCAGCCATGAGAGAGCAGCTCCCCAAAGTATGACAGCTCCCTGCTGGCCATCTCCTTGTTCCACAGTCAAAATTGCTTTCAACAAACCTCCAGCTCTGGATATTCCCTCTGCCTCATCACGCCATGCTAAAACCCAGAAAAACTGAATTATGCAACAAAAATGTAATTGATACCCTTTAAGATGTGACTGTTAAGTAAGTAATGCAGCTAAAAATGGTAAAGTTCGTGGACCAATTGTTAAAGTTTGTGTCCCTCTCAACCATACTTTCACTGTCCACTACGGTATTCAAATTACTATACAATCTGAAATACTTAACTGCAATAAAATTACCTGTGATTAATTTGCTGTGTTTAACCCTCAGCAGAGCATGAACCAGTGTGTCTGGTCGTAATGCTCCAAGGCGGATGAAAGAGATGGAGTGCAAATCCTGAGGCTTGTGAGGAGGCAGAGACACCAACAGGGGGCGCTTCTCACATAGATGAGTACACAGCGTTCTCAATGAGTGACTGTTCAAATTCTGTGGAGCTACACAAGATCTGCATTACAAAAGCAGGACTTTACATCTTTTATCCAGACAAAATAGCCCCATTAGTGATTAGATTTTGGTTACCGACTGGAATACGCTCTCTTGTGACCTGTCCTAAATTCAGCAGCTTGCTGGTGAAAGAGGACTGCAGGACAGTCTCAGCTTTCCACTTGTCAATGTGCACCGCTACATCTGCCAATGTAAAAAAAAGAAAGGTAAATCAACAGACATTTCATCACTTTTCACATTTCAGGAGTGTTTTTCAACCACATATCCTTCTTCTTTTAAGATGAGTCACTTCTGTTCTGGATATACTGGTATTGGTTGAGCTGATCCACCATAGTTGGCCTTACAGGTCATTTATCTTAGTAGATCATCCTGACTTACTTGTTTTGTTGCTTACTGGTACATTTTTATATTCATACTCCTTCTGCTGACAATGGTTTCTTTAAATGTATGCATTCTACAAGTTCAGTGAAGGCTACATACATTTTATTTCCCAGTTAAGACATAACAAAGACGTAATGGTTAGATTTTTAAATAGATAATGTGGTCTAAATAATTGTGGACCCCATTGTATATTATAGGTTTACAGTATGTGGTTGGTTGAAAGTCTCTTCTGATCACTGCAAGGCTGGATTTATTTGACACAAATAATAATAATACATTCCTGTAAAAGGCAAAACAGCATCATTATTCAGTCTTTACTGTCAAGCTATCTTTCACAAAGTCAAGAATTATTTATATATTTATATGTATTTGTACTATTTATTAATGTTATTAATAATTATAAAACATTCTTAGATTAGAAAGTTGTGCAGCTTAATGCTTACAGATATTAAGATGATAAAATATCAGCATTTATTTGAAAGAGAAATTTTTATTCAGTCTATTTTGATCAACTTAAATGGGACCAATTATGCCACTTTTTACAAGATGTAGAATCAGTCTCTGGCGTCCTTAAAGTGTGTATGTGACATTTTAGTTTAAATGACCCAGCAGGCAACTTTTTATAGCTTTTAAAGTATAAATTTTAATATTTTAATGCTTTAAATTTAAATGAGTTTGTGTTCCAGGCAGAGAAACAAATGCCTATACTGCTTCACACTCAGGGCTGTGTATATGATAATGAGTCAGAGATTGTCACTAATAAGTGGGACTTTCCCTCTATGATTATGTGTACAACCCATACAAGAAGTGTGGTTATAAAAAATATAATGGATTAAATATTTTCATTAGGGGCTGGTTATATTCTCACACTGTAGCCACACAATTGTTTAAATGCCACTTAAACAGGATTTTTGCATAGTAGGTCCCCTTTAATGCATCCATGGTTATAGGCCTGTTACAATACCTATTTTTTGTTAAACGATATATTATACCAAAATATATTGCGATAAACGACATTTATGTCATTTTAGGACCATTTTATTCCACTCAATATATAGACAATTTCAATGTGGTCATGGCATTGGCCCATGAATATTTCCTGCTTGCTATCACACTATTAACTGTAACAAGAGGCAATTCAATCATAGCTTAATGTTAAAACAGCTATCATAACATTGTCTATTATTATGTGTCTCTTTTTGGATTGTCTGAAGGTATAGAAATAAAAAATGTGAAACAGGAAATACATTGGGACCATTGTTTTTGTTTACAACATTTTCCCCTTCATTAATCTGGGGTCGCCACAGCGGAATGAACCGCCAACTTATCCAGCATATGTTTTACCCTGCAGATGCACTTCTAGCTGCAAGCCATCACTGGAAAACATCCACACACACTCATTCACTACGGACAATTCACCTACTTTATACCACATGTTTTTGGACTTGTGAGGAAAACCAGAGCACCCAGAGGAAACCCACGCGGAACTAGGGGAGAACATGCGAACTCCACACAGAAATGCCTACTCACCCAGCCGGGGATCAAACCAGCAACCTTCTTGCTGTGAGGCATTTTGCTACCCACTGTGCCACAGTGCTGCCCGTATGTGTGTGTGTGTGTGTTTCCCAATTTCTGTTTAACGGGGAGAAGATTTTTTCAACACATTTCTAAACATGATAGTTTTATTAACTCATTTCTAATAATGAATTTATTTTATCTTTAATCATCATGATGACAGTAAATAATATTTTACTAAATATTTTTTCAGGCACTTCTATACAGCTTAGAGTGACATTTAAAGGCTTAAATAGGGTAATTAGGTTAACTAGGCAGGTTAGGGTAATTAGGCAAGTTACTGGATAACGTTTGTTTGTTCTGTAGACTATCGGACAAATCTAATAATTTTGTCACTAAAATGGTAAAAAAATAAAAATTAAAAACTGCTTTTAATCTAGCCGAAAGAAAAAAAAACAAATAAGAATTTTTCCAGAAAAAAAAATATTATCAGACATACTTTGAAAATTTCCTTGCTCTGTTAAACATCATTTGGGAAATATTTAAAAATGAAGAAAAAAAATTGAAGGGGGCTAATAATTTTGACTTCAACTGTGTATATATATAATTTAAATGCATTTGATCGTTCTGTGGGCAAATATGACATAAATATGAATCATTATGTAGATTTTTAAATGTCTAGGTATATACCTTAAATAAATAAATCATGTTTTCAATTGGAGCTTTTATATTGCTGTATTTTAATTATATTTGTTCTGCATAAATTCTCCCTATAGTGGCAATAATCATAAAATGCGGTTGCATCTACTTTTTTCAGCATGAGTTACTCAATTTCCCAGTGCATAGTACATTTGGATGTTCACTTAAAATCTTTGTTAAGCCTTTATGATATATAAATTAATATACAAAAAAATAATAGATGTAAGAATCGAAGATAAATTGTGTTAATTTGTAGATCTTGGTTGTTTCACCTGTAATTAGCAGAATATCTCCTGGATAAACTGTAAGGGCCCAAAAGGCAGATGTCCGCCATAAAACCACCTTCATCTCCACATCTGATTGGTCAGTGACAATCAGCGTTGCTAGAGGTACGCTGGTACCAGCAGAAGCTCCGGTTTTCACCTTGACCTCTTTTAAGTGGCATGGATGCACCACAGCCACCAAGATAGCATACCGTACACCATGTGTCGTACACCTGGCCAGCAGGGTTGTAGGACCACACAGAGGGGCAACAACGGTTTTTGTCCTCTGATCTGTTTCTTTGGTTTTACACGCAGTCTGAAAGAACCTAATCTTTTTAGCAGCAGAGGGACCAGATGATGACTGTGCAGTTGAAGTTGGAGAATCACTAATAAGCCCAACATCTTCCTGATTCACAGGTTTTTCAGGTATAGCATTGCCCTGAGAGCAGAGGATGCCTTCAGATGTAATTTCCAGAATCAGCCCTCTCTCCTGCTGTCTTTGGCTCAGACTGTCATACTCTCCTGAGCTTTGCAAAGTTCCCCCCAAACCTCTTTCTTCAGGACTGACTGCAGGACTGTACAACTCTGGGGAACTCTCAGAGGCTGAGGGTGTTTGTTTAGGAGGGTTGTGTGGAAAACCGAAAAGAAAGTCTTCAAGGAGTCCAGAAGTTGAACATTGAGACACTCTACTTCGAAGAAGCAAAGCTTGAGACTTTGTCCATGAACTCAGATACTCAGTCTCAGTGGAAACTGGTGACCTGGGCCTCCCATCTCTGCTCTGTCCAGCTGAAGAAGAGAAGCAACTATCAAGATATTCTGTCACTAATACAGGACACAACTCCTCTTCTTCAACAGATTCTGGCTTTGATTGGCAGCCTGATGGAGTGCTGTCATCCTCTGATATTTTGTTTTCTTCTTCTCTCCTCTCAGGTAGTTTATCAGAGGTAACAGCAGACTTCAGCCAGTCATTATTCTCGACACCAGACTCATCATCTGTTTGGGCCTCTCCAGTGGTGTGTTTGGGAATCAGCTGACCTTGACTCCAAGTGAAGTCCATTGTTGTCCAGTGTTTGGCCGCTCTGTCCTGCACCTCTACATTGAGGGCTTGGGGACATGGGGCACCCAAAAAGACATGAATATTTGGTTTGTTTGCCATCCTGCTCTCCTTGAGTTGGCCCGTTCATATGCATGTTGCCAGATCTTCCCCCATATTTACAGGTAGATCAAGTTTGCCACCTGCATGAAAACAGAAATGCATACTGTTAGCTAAGCAAGCTCTATAGAAATACTGGTAACACTTACTGTAGATCTCTAACACCGGCCAATTATTAGATAACAAACTAATCATGTATGTACTTTACAGCATTTTCATTACCTTTTAAATGTTTAATGTAAAAAGTTGATGTTAAATTCATTCATTCATTTATTTTCTTGTCGGCTTAGTCCCTTTATTAATCTGGGGTCGCCACAGCGGAATGAAACGCCAACTTATCCAGCACGTTTTTTACGCAGCGGATGCCCTTCCAGCCGCAACCCATCTCTGGGAAACATGCACACACACTAATACACTACGGACAATTAAGCCTACCCAATTCACCTGTACCGCATGTCCTTGGACTGTGGGGAAACAGGAGCACCTGGAAGAAACCCACACGAACGCAGGGAGAACATGCAAACTCCACACAGAAACGCCAACTGAGCCGAGATTCGAACCAGCGACCCGGCGACCTTCTTGCTGTGAGGCGACAGCACTACCTACTGTGCCACTGCTTCGCCCTTATGTTAAATTAAATGCACTAAATAGATAAATTCTCAATGCATTAACTAAGGTTTTTGTTTGTTATAACATTAGTGAAACAAATGAAATTGTCATTAAGTCTAAAGAATAGTTGAGCTAAAATCTATCTATTTTTATTATTTAATATATATTCTCTATTATTTGTTATTGTTATTACTAATGTTTAATAATATTTTATTTGCCTTTTTATTATATTTGGTGCAAACTTTCTTTAGTTTTATCACTTGGAAACTATTTAAATAAATCAATTAAAATAATAAGAAAATAATGTGATGAGTGACATGAGTGTTTATAAATAAATAATGCCAACGTTCATATTGATTCAAATGTCCAGTCAAAATATGAATAAAAACTATAATTGTATTTAAATAATTATTATTTTAACTTTAATTAACCCTTTAAAATTATCAAAAGTGTACATACAATTAGGGGAGGGGGCTAAAATACAGTAAATAACTGTGATGTGATATTTAACTGAAAATTACAGTGCAATAGCATTGAGAAAGAGAATTAGGAATACAGTATAAAATCCCACAGCACGTGGGAACATTTTAATGTGTCTGTGCAAGTATGCATTCCTAAGATCAGTTGTTTTCACTTAGCAAAAGAAGAAAAAAAAAACAGTTTATTGAGTGACTCTCCAGAACTATAACCCAACCAGATGATGGGTGTTGCACCATGTGAGCCAATAACAGAGCAGTACTTCTTTTTAAACTAAAGTGTGATTTATAACCAGATCCATTTGCTTCCAAAGATGGTGGCATAGAGGAAAAGTGTGAAGAAAGACATTACTTTTTTAACCTGATGGTTACACTGCACAATTTTTTGGAGAGCAAAAATGTTTTTTTAAACCACTGAAAAACTATTTACTTTTTTTAGACCAACAAAGTGGCCATGGCACCTTGTAAAATACATTAGATTGCTTTTTAACTTAAAAATTAAGTGTAGAAACAATATACACTACCGGTCAAAAGTTTGGGGTAATTTATTTTTTTATTAAGAAAATTATTCTGTTCATCAAGGAGGCATTTCTTAAAATGGTTAAATATTTATTAAAATTTGAAATAACTGCTTTCTTATTGTATGTAGTTTTAAATAAAAGTATTACTCCTGTCATTATTGATTTTATTACTATTACCATTAATAATAATAATAATAATTATTATTATTATTAGAGTGATTTCTGAAGGATCATGTGACTCTGAAGACAGGAATAATGAAGCTGAAAATTAATCTTTAAAATCACCGGAATAAATGACTAAATTAAATGATAAACTACTTTTGAACAGTTATTTTATAGTGAAACAAAATTTCACATATTTTTGATTAAATAAATGCAGCACCGGTGAGCAGGAAATCTTATTTTAAAACATTTCAAAATCCAACTCACCCCAAACTTTTGACCGGCAGTGTAATAATCAGTATAATTATGTAGTACAGTATCCATGGCTACTGTCCACTTGTTATAATACTCTGTGAGAAAGAAACACACACTATCAAAAGAGCAAAACATTTTTTTTTTCCCTGGAAAAGATGTAAAGATGTCCTGCATGAGCTAAATGTATTTCCAGCAGGATTCAATTATAGCAGCCAAAAAAAGACATGACGTAACTCCACATGTCACTGTAACCCCGTGTGAAATACATGATTAAATCTAATTGTCACAAACAAATAAGGCTCTTTTTATTTAAGTCTTATCTGTTAGAGTGCAGAGAGAGAGGGGGAGAGAGCAGAGAACACAGGGTCATTGCCCTTTACCATTCTTTGTTTGTGCCATATTAACAAAAAAAATGTATTTTCAAAGAAACACTAACTATTGCATTTAGTGAATATAAACTACTATACAGTACAAATGCTAGGTTTCTAATAGGAAGCAGAGACTATGCTTGATTTATGAGACCAAGGATGTGAAAGTACTGCATGTGCATCAAAACACCAATAACCCAGACACCAAACTCATTCCTGTCAGCAGGGCTTCAGATGACCTCCAGTGACCTCAACTGAGCAAGAAAAAGCCAGTCTGGATGAGCAAAAACAAAACTAAACTCCTGCCCTTAAACAGGGAAATCAATAGCTTTTGCTACTGTTAGAGAGTGTATGAATGAATATTTGCTAAAGAGGACTACTAAAAATGTTTAGGATATAGATTAGAAAACTATTGTGGTCCTAACATACAACCTGTTAACTTCCAAAATCACATTTAAGTGCATAAAAACAAGCACATAAAAAAATCAGGGAATCGTAATATGTAAAATAAACTTCTGTAAAATTATTTAATTGAAAAGGTATAGAAATACATGTCAGTCTGTTTTTAGGGCAGCATTTAGTGCAAGTGAATAGTCTTTGTTTGTGGCACTTTCTACAAAAATAAATAGTGCAGTCAATGTTCTATTCGTTTACTCACCCTCAAGCCATCCAAGATGCAGATGACTTTGATTTTCTTTAATAGATTCATAATAAATTCTTTAGTAGACATGAAAACATAATTTTAGCAGAAACTGTAGTCCTTGGTGTTTCATATTCACAATTGAATAGCTACCACATTTTGAAAAATTTACAGACATAACTAAATAATACATATATATACTGGGTTCTTTTGAATAGAAACAATCTGACTGTGCAAGAACATGTGACTTACAACATTTTTGCCTTTAATTCAGACTTTAGATGATTGTTGACCCACTTAATGAAGTCTACCAAAGCTGCATTTTAATAGTAATAATGTTGTATATAACGTTTAGTTGCACAGACTGATCATTCTGCTTTATAAGACCTTGTCGACTACAGAACATTGCCTGAGGGTGAGAAAATGACAGAAAATTATTTTAAATTTTGTCGTAGAAATGTGCTAAAACAACTGCAGTCAGACAAGAGTTAGAGCAAAGCAAAAAGGTAGTTTATTAATATTCCGCAGTATGACACCTGTTACACACACACACACACACACACACACACACACTAGGGCTGCAAGATCACAATCTCGATACGACCCGATCTTAATTCAGCTTTTTTACGATTCAGCTAATAATATTTTAAAGGTCAGGGGAGATGCAAGGCAGTCGTACAAGTCTTTACGGCAACAATGACATCTTCAATTGGTGTAAAAGTGTCATATACTGTATTTATAAGGTATAATTCACCCAAAAAATGTCATTTCTGTCTTCATGTAATGATGTATTCACGAAATCACAGGTGAGCTGACGCACTGTTTGTTTACTATCGAGAATGCGCGCGTGCACGCATGGTGCCTACTTTAGTGAACACAACCTGCATATGCTGTGAATAACAGGTAATGAAGTTGTAAATAACGTTCAGTTTGTTGCACAGAGCGATCGTTTGAGAGCCGTGCGGGAGGTTTGATTTGCACGTGTGTGTGTTTTCTCACAGTGACAGCAGCATAGATCACAGCACATCATTTAAATGATCATATCGCATTTTAGAGTTATGATTACGACAAGCATTTAATATGTTTTTTTCTTTCATAGCGAACACAGTGTTGTGCATGAAAATAAATGTTTACTGTGTCAGTATAACAACCCTAGCCTATATTTAATGGAAATATAATGGTCTAATAATGTTGTCAATGATAGATGAGAAGCACATGTCTTAAGCATAATAAATCAACTTGAGAATTATGAATAGTTGTAATAGTTTTATTTCATAATTTTACTTTAAATTAACAAACAGTTCAAGTCCACCATAATGACTGCAAAATTTAGCATTTTAAGCAACAGTAGACCTACACATACTGTAGGCCTAATATTTTTGTTGTTTTACCATATGTTTGAGAATTACCAATAATAATAGGCTTATCATATTAACCTTTATTTTACATTTACAGAATCGTGAGAAAATCGTGATCTTGATTTTAAGCAAAGAAAATCGTGATTCACATTTTTGCCAGAATCGTGCAGCCCTAACACACACACACACACACACACACACACACACACACACACACACACACACACACACACACACACACACACACACACACACACAAACACAAACACACACACACAAACACACACACACACACACACACACACACACACACACACACACACACACACACACACACACACACACACACACACAGTGAATGTGTGAGAGACTGTGTCTCAGTCTTTTCAACAGACAGTTTTATAACTTTCAGTGCACGTACACTCAAATTTGTGCCAAACTCCAGGAAAGATACATTTCAGGTGGGAAAGAAAATATCTCCCTGTGGTTTTCTAACTCCTAACCTACTCCTGACCAGGAGTACTACAATGTATCAGGCTTTGGCCAGTACCAAACTGCTTCTGTCTGCGTTTTATGAAAACATGTTGTTCATTAAAAACTGCCATCGCAATTTTATTTTCCGTTTCATTTGAATTTAGCTTAACTTGTACTAATAAAAATCACTAAATGTACTAAAAGATATGTATACATTTTTACATGTAATACATTTTTGGATCCCTCAAATCCCACAAAGATCCCACAAAGAAAAAAAGAAAAGAAAAAAAAAACATTACAGCCTTTCTAATGGTTATGGGCATTATATTTGTTTGTATTGTATTGTTTTCATTAACTGTACTCTAACGGCCTTCTGGTGGCATTTTGAAACCAATCAATCCCATCAGAATATGTCCTAAAAAACACTTAAAAACCATTGTAATGGTTTACAAAGGAAATAACGTAACATTGGCATCTTCTGGCTTCTACGTTTTTTTATTATTAATTTTATTTTTCAGAAGGGATGGTCGAGATGGTCAGCCAATATAATAATCAAATACGTTTACATTTAATAATTTTTCTTTTTTCAAAGGCTACTTTAACAGTTCCTTAGAGAGGCAGTGTTTGCTGATGGGTTCTTGCTCTTTGAGCGCCTCCCAGCTTGAGGTGGAGACCCACGGCACGCCTGCCGTTTAAAACAACTCACAAACAGTTTTCAAGCCGACACTTTACTGAGTCAAGCAGAAAAAGGAGCCGTGGTGTCCGTTTATTCACCAGACATATTCACTTTCACTGTCATTTTTCCTTTTTAGAGACTGTAAATTTGTTTGTTTTTTAGTTCAGAACCATGTATAGGTATCTGGGAGAGCTCGTGACACGCGCAGCCGCCAACAGCGCACTGGCCTCGGTGTGCGTAGACTCCGCTCTGCCCGCTTCTGCGACTCTCCTGCGGGTACGCCGCTACAGCGAAGCGGTGGGAGAGAAGGACGATGACCCAAACTTCTTTAGGATGGTCGAGGGTTTCTTTGATCGCGGTGCGTCTATTGTGGAGGACAAACTTGTGCACGATTTGAAGACGAGAGAAACGCCCGAGCAGAAGAGGCACCGCGTCAGGGGGATCCTCAAGATCATCAAGCCCTGTAACCACGTCCTGTCCGTGTCCTTCCCCATCAAGAGAGACAACGGGGAATGGGAAATGATCGAGGGCTACAGAGCTCAGCACAGCCAGCACAGGACCCCGTGTAAAGGAGGCAAGTTTGTGTCTGTGCATTATTTACATCCGAGCTAATAGGAAGCAGTCGCGCTCTCGAGAAAAAAAACCCTGCAAGCTAAGACAAAGAGCACTTACCTTTCAAAGCGTCTTCTGAAGTTTTGCATTATGGTGTCATTGGTCTGTGTGTGTGTCGTATTTGCACACTTTTTTGCTTGTAATTTGACAGGGAGTGATAAATGATAGGCCTTGCGTGCCATGAACTTGGAAAAGATCCTGTGTGTTGCGCAGTAGCGACACCCCGCGACTGTTCGCTTACGAACGTTACTGAGTAAACTAGTATCCTCATGTTCAGTCTTCATATTATTCAAATCGTATGGGTGTTTCCCAGTACTGGGTTGCAGATGGAAGGGCATCCACTGTGTAAAACATATGCTGGATAAGATGGCGGTTCGTTCCTCTGTGGCGACCCATGATAAATAATGGAACTAAGCCGAAGGAAAATGAATGAATGAACATTATTAAAATCTTTGTGAGGTGATGCAAACATCTCCAGGCTTGTCTTTGGCTGGTGTTTATTAGTGGTCTAAAGAGGTCACTAGTTGGTTTACAGATACTGTAATTATAAGCTTGACCAGATATGATCTAACCACAGATTTTAGATATTAAACCAGCTTACAATAATTTGACGCTAGCAAAAAGTCAGCTACATTGAAAACATATTTCCATCAATAAAATTTAGCCTTTCGAGCAAAAAATATTTGTTTGCATGCAATAAAAATAAATATGTTTGTATTAAAAAAAATATAAAATAATGTTTTGAAACTTTTTTTTCGATTAATTCTGAATTAGATTTAGATATTAGATTTTAAACAAATGGTTTCCATAAAATTGCTTACACGTTTTGCAATTTGCCTCTTTTTTAGGTAGGAGAATGGGAAGGACAAAAGAAATTGTATTGCATCACTTTTTTTTTGTAAAGTATTACAGCAAGAATCCTGCCTCTCCTGTTGCTGCGTGTTTGTTTTATAGGGTGGTTCAGCTTTCCCCTCTTTAAACTTTTTTATCCCACATGATATAAATTTCTGTTATCTTTATAGATATATTTCAGTTCTTTCATAGAGATATTTTGGTACTTTCTGGAAGTTGTGAGCTTATTTGTTATCAGCAGTGGAATGTGTTTATGTAAGAGCAGTTTCTATCAGGCATGACCTATTCGGGAGTTGTTTGCAAGGGCTTTACATTTTGCTTCATCAGGACTGACTGTGCAGTGCTTTATTTATTAAGGAAGGGAGGTAAAAGCCCCATAGGAGAGTTCAGTCTCTCAGCAATTTCCTTGACTGGAGTCTGTAAGCATTTTCATACTATTTCCTCATTTTTGCAAAAAACAAAACAGAGATATCATCAACCTTAAACTATAGCATGAACAAATAAGTGAACTTGCAACCCATTGACTTTAGCAAATGCTTTAAGTGGTCTAAATTGCACATAAACTATGCTGAACTGATCACAAAGTTAGTAAGTGATCTGATAATGTGCACTGATCACGTTTTGAATAGATTAGATTTCAGGGTGACATTGACTGAACTGATGTCGAGAATGTTTACACTGTGCAGATTAAAAATTAGCTTAGTGCCTTAGTGGTTTACCTTGTGCTCTTGCAACTCTGGATCATTATGTAAAAGCATGTGTTTTTGCAAATCTCTGATTGAAAAGCATTGTGATTTCGCCTTATACTTAAAAAAATAAAAGTGCATTATTGTTTTATTATTATTATTATTTTAGATTTGCCATTGATAGATCTATGTTTTGAGTATAATGTTCATTCGTGTTTTATTTCATAAGCTACCGATAACATGTCTTGAAAAATTCTATTAGTAATAACATTATTTAGAGCATTTATTTATAAAAAATGACAGTAGGTCAGCATAAAATATTAATATTTTCAGACATAAAATTTTAATAAATCTTATAATCTTAAAATAAAATCTCATCTTATTTGATGTTTACCAACTGTAATTTTCTGCATATAAATTCTCTAAATGATAATATTTTTATTTATTTTAAAGACATGTTAAGAGTACAGAGCAAATTAACATTTTTGTACTGATTTTTTCCCAGAGCTTCCCCGAGGTTTTGTTGAGAGAATGGTTAACGTTTCACGAAGTAAACTTATTTCTGTCTGATTTATGTAAAATATAATCCACAGACTATAGTTATTCCGATCAAACATGCCAGAGTATAAGATTCAGCAGACATTTATGTTATAATGGTTGAGAGGATGCAGACTTTGAACCCCGTCTATACAGTAATATACTGCAGACATGCTTGTTCCTTTATTCTCTCGGTTAGTTACCAATAAACTCGGAGGGAGACTATTTTTTGAATGTGCCTTAATACCTTTATTTAAGGTTACAGTAGTAGTGATTTGAAATGATTAACAACTTAATCACCCATAAAATCGATTAACTTTGCAGTGCTCTCCAAACATTGCTTTTGAGGATGCTTGAAAACAGAGAGAGAGGTTTAGTTTGAGGCAGTCAGTTTGTGTACTTTAAACATACCCAGTTTGGGCCCTGCCTAGATTTTCTTCCCTCATAGTTTGGTGGAGAGAGTGAGTCATCATGTTTTTTGGTTTACTGCCTGTCCTGCCACACAGAATTTCCCCTCTCAAAACTGTAGGTCTATTTTTTCTGTGCTTGGTGTTTAAGTCATTTGAATTCTCCAGAACTCCTACTATAAAGATCACATTTCTCAGATCATTAATGCTGTTTTAACAGACCGTGGCAATCCCCAGCATTTCAGCGGGAAAATATTTAACCAATATTTTATTAACTTAATTATTGTTTTTGCCCCAAGAGCTTTAACGTATTGAGACACATAAAGCACTTAAGCAATGTAGTTTTAATCCATAGAGTTTCTCGTCTTTGCATTATAAAATCTGTTAAAGAGGAGCTGTAGTGCATGTGATGAATTAAGATGCTTGTTTTAATGATCTGCCTAATCTATACATTTATTTGCCTATACAGTCTAAAGGGCACTGTTTCTGCTTTTCCAGGTATCCGTTACAGCACAGAGGTCTCAGTGGATGAGGTTAAAGCCCTCGCCTCACTAATGACCTACAAATGTGCAGTTGTAGGTGAGTTCTTTGCTTAAATTTGTTTCTGTGTGCATTTATTTAGTTTTGGCTTCTGGTATGAACAAATAATCATTCAAATGAACTGTGCTTTCGACAGATGTGCCTTTTGGAGGAGCCAAAGCTGGTGTGAAAATTAACCCCAAGAATTACTCGGTAATTGTTTATGCTCTTCATTTCTTATTTTTCCTCAAGCTCTTAGAATCAGAAAATATGCATTAGAGTCCCTTTAATGGTTTCGATGATTTGGCATGAAAGTGTAATTGTTTTAGAAAAGCAGGAAGTAAGATGTGGTTTGTTCACTAAACACAGATAAATCAATTAGTTGCTTTACTTAAAACTTGAGGAAACCCATTGCTTTTAAGGTGATTTGTTGCTTTACTTTAGAAAAGTGAGTAAACCTGTTGGCTTAAAATTAAGTAAATGAACTGCAAAATTGTAAATAATAAGTCAACTTAACTGTTGCAAGTTACAATAGGTTTGCTCACTTTTTTAAGAAAAGTCAACTTGTCACTTTTAAGGTAATGACTTTATCTTGCTTTATAAAGTAAATTAACAACTAGCTTTTTACAGTATATAAAATCACTCATAGCAGAAATATAATTGACTCACAAAGTGATATCGTTAAAGCTTTAAGACCTGTGCTGTTATATTCCACATAAAAATGAAGCTTTTCTGTTAGTAAAACATTATAAAGGATGTTTTTTTTAATTTACTTATTTTTTACTGCCAGAACCACGACCACTTTGTGATTCATAACACTGCATTTAAAGAGTCAGAATTAATACCTGTAACTTCTGATTATACATTGAGGTCTTTGAAGCTACACAGTTCGACTCTGCAAGAAACAGAGCATTATATAAACATAATTATCTTTAATCTACAGCCTCAGCTAACAGTTTTAATTTACATCAGTAAAACATGTACACTCAGGGATTGCTTTTAAAAATGTATACTTCCATATGATTAGTTACTAATGTCTCTCTATTTTTCTGACTTAATACAGGACACAGAATTGGAGAAGATCACAAGGAGGTTCACTATCGAGTTGGCTAAAAAAGGCTTCATTGGTGAGTTTTGAGCAGGCACACATCAAATCTAATGAAGCTTGTTTTCACCATAATAAGTACAAAATAATTTTCCCACACACTTACATTTTTTTCACAGTTCTTTCTCACAGTTCCCCGCTTCAGTTTTTTTTCTCCGAATTGTCACATGCAAACTTGGAATTCTTAAAAAAAATTTAAAAAGTCACAAGAACATCTTTGTATCCTGTGGTGGAAAAAAGCTTCCATGATAAATCTGCTTCTAAATTCTGCAAAAAGCTCTGTCGAATTTAAATGTCAGTCATGTGCTTGATTTTACACCTCCCTAATCTATGTGCATAATAATCTTTTGTTTAGTATTCTCATTTAATATTATTCTCAAGAATTTTCTCCAATATTTGTTTTTCAGCATTAGATATACGAGGCAGTACATGTTACAGAAAAAATAGTTTGTTGTCTTTGCAATAATGCATTAATACATAGTAGATTTATCTATAAACTTGATTGACATTTGTTAAGCGGATTTAGCTGTTCAAACTTAAATATGACAGTCTCTATTGCAGATTAGCCCACAACACAATAACACAACACTTTCAGCAGCAACACTCTAGTAATGCTTAGCATCAGATGGCACAGATTACCAGTCAAGCTGCTATTGACACCACTTCTACCATACAATTACATTGATCCTGTTGCCTGAAAGCCTAAATAATCTGTATTCATATTACATGAGTTTTAAGAGCTTGTAATAGAGGCAGTTTTTTTAACGTAGTTGATGTTTTTGACACATTGTACTTTGAATATAAAATTTAGCTTTTGTGAGTCAAAATGTACAGTGCAAAAATGCTATAATGTCTTAAGAATGTGTTAGACACAGAAGTTTTTATTTTCACCAGAATCACCAGAACAGTGTTCTATATTTTGCTGAATTTGTACTTTGGCATTGTCCCAAGTGTTTCGTAGAATGTTCAAATTTAGGGAAAAAAGCATGGATCCATAAGTGTGTGAAGTCGTTTGCATTTCAAGTTTGGTTTTATAGAAAAAAGGGAAAGACACCAAAGATGCTTTAATTTTTGGGGTGTTTTATTAGACTAACAGAACCTTAAAATTTTTTTTAGTATAATAAAACAGCACTACTTCTTCTTCATGTGATCATGACAAGATAAATCAGAGATGATTAACTGTGGCATAATAAAATCTTTGCTGCTTTTGTGCCACATCATGCTTGTCTTTCATCAGAAATTGCTTCATTGTTCTCATTTTTCTTTCAGCCTTATTTTGCTTTATACTACATGATAATAAGTTTGAATACTTTATCTCATGCATGAACATGATTTTTGCATGATGAAGGTCATCAGACTTCGTCTTTGTTTGTTGTTAATATTTGCCTTCTAATGGCAAAAATTACAAACTGTCCTTTAAGTGAGCATTGATATTTGAGACAAATCAATCAAACAACCAATCAAAGTTTTGTTTTGTTTTGGAAACAAGCTTCAATACTGAATTTTCCAAAAAGCTTGGCAGAATTGAAATGTCACTCATGTTCTAGATTCTATGTATCCCTCAAATATCTTACTTAATATGATTATGGTGTTGTCAACATAGTCTTGTGTTTAGCACATTTTAGCAGTCATTGAGTGTAATTCTGCAGATTTTTGTAAGATATCATGATGACTGGCACATATGCATGGTCAGGGTTATACTGAGCTGCAGTATAAGCATGGGAAGGGAGGATAAGTAGTACACTGATTTGTGTTTCCTCTGTTAGGGCCTGGCATTGACGTTCCTGCCCCGGACATGAGCACAGGAGAGAGGGAAATGTCCTGGATTGCTGACACATATGCAAACACAATGGGCCATCATGTAAGTACAAGCTTCAAGTATTTAGAAAAGCTGTCGCATAAACATTTTAGGCCACGAATATATAAAAAGTCCCTGCAAGTGGAGGAGGACGTTTATTTTTTGTATCTAATATGGCAGTTGAATTATGCCATTATCCCATTTCAGGATTGAAAATGTCGCTATAACTGCATTTACAACAGCAACAGTATGTCTTATTTAAACCACTTGAATGTAGTTACATTAAGGATTGACTAGACATTTCACTTTGAGTGTTGACATCTATTTATTTTGAGAAGCTGATGTTTACGTTAACTTATTTTGTTGTTGACATGTTTTATGCCATTGTTTTCTTTGTTTGCAGTGTAGCATAATGTTAATAGTGCTTAAGCATTCTCGTTAAAGATTTTATTCACATCCTTAAGCTTATGCAATTAATTAAACCCAAACCAAATAATTGCTAATCCACTACAAGAATTTATGTAGCATTTGTAGTTATTAGAAATGTCAAAATGTATTTTAAAGGATGAATTTATTGTCATTGTAACATTTGCAGTTGTAGTGTGTTTGCATGGTCAATACTGTGATTGCACTTGTTTTCCATGGATATATATAAACATTATATAAATTGTGATACATCTGTGCAGCTGACCGTAAACAACATGAGACTTTTTCACAATAGGTTGTTTTCTTTTAAAGAAAATACTAAAATATGCACTGAACCAAAACATTAGCACTATCTAGTCTAACATGTCATCTCGAAAGTATAATATAATTGACGATTCACTGTTGAATTGTTCAAAACATTTACGCACACCTGACCTGAGGTGGTGATGTTTTGTTGTGGGTGTTTTATTAAAATTATAGTAATAATTTATTAAAATTATTTTCTGGTAATTTTTAACCAGACAATTTTTCAGCTTATACTATGATTACCACATCTAAAGACACATTTCAAATTGTGCAGATTAGAACCAGTTGTCTGGTTTTTGTTGTCAAACAGCTTCTGTGTGTAATACTAGTTTCCAACACATCTTTTTCAAACCCCTTATGTTTTGTAGTTTTTTTGTTAGATTTTTGACTGTAGTAAAATACATCAAGAAATAACAAAAAATAAACAGGATTCAAACAGATTAAAAAAGTTTTTTTATGGTGTAAAGGGAATGAAAAAGAAAAGGAAGAATATAACAAATCGTCACCTTAGAATTATAAGGTTCTATCTGACATTTTTGTCAACATTTTTTTATTGACATATTCTTATTAAATGACAACTTATTTACATTATGTGATGTTTTTTTTACAAGTTGTTTACATTTTAAGACTTTTTATTTAAAAAACAAAAAATTGTTTTTTAAATAAAACTTTGTAATTTTATCTACAAAGTCGAACTCTAGTTTGACTATAAGGTTCTTTCTGTGAGTCAATCAACATTTTTAATGCACGAACGAGGATGAAGCAGGATCAGCTTTCTTTGTCATTTCGCCAGACTGCTCCATTGACAGCGGGAAACACCAGAAAAACAAAAATCACACTAAATCAGAGTCGGCTAAGTAATGCCACACCACATAGAATTGAGATGTGTGTAAATGTGTTGGTTCAGAAGCATTTCTTGAATTGAGATTCATTCATTTATTCATTTGCTTTTCGGCTTAGTCCCTTTATTAATCTGGGATCACCACAGTGGAATGAACCGCCAACTTATCCAGCATATGTTTTACGCAGCGCATGACCTTCCAGCTGCAACCCATCTCTGGGATACACCTATACACACTCAATCACACACATACACTATGGCCAATTTTAGCTTACCCAATTCACCTGTACCACACTTATTTGGACTTATATTTGGATCGAACATGGGGAGAAAATGCAATCTCCACACAGAAATGCCAACTGACCCAGCTCAAGAGAGGCTCGAACCAGCAACCTTCTTATTGTGAGGCGATCGTATACGTCACTGACATTGAGATGAAAAGTTCGATTTTACATTGTTGAAAAAGAAATTAATAATAAAAAATGTATATATTAAATGTGAAATATATTTATTTGTTTACATATAGTCAGTGAAACACTTTTCATGGTTTATTAAACTCATTTGCTCGTTTATTGTTTAACTATCGATCGTTAGTTTTCTTTAAAGTCTTTAAATTTAATATTAAGCCTTGAAGAGCAAATACTTAATTTATTCATGGGGCAAATAATTCAATAAATATAATTCAGTAATTCATAAAAAGCATAAAATTATATAAATATTAACCTATTAATTAGATAAAATTAACAGCTGTACTGGAAAAAAGTATTAAGCTCAGCCTTGCATGCTTCATTTGAACAAGAAAAAATATTCATCCTAAAACATGAAATAAATGTTATAGAAAGCAAAAAATTTATTTTCTCAAGCATCAACATATTGTTACAAAACCAATTTATATATATATTTTTATAGTATTTGTGGAAAAGTAATGCTTAAATGAATGATCTGCCAGATAGAACCTTATAATTCCAAGCGGGAAATGACTTTTCAGCATTAGAAGGTTCTATTACCGTGTTTTATTTATTTTTTTATTTTTTTGATAATTTACATTTAGAGAACCCTTAGAGTCTCTGTCATGTTAATGCAGGAAAGAGAACTGTTACACACATACTGTTTGCTATATGGATTGCAAAAACTTTAAAGCTCAATATCTCAAAATCATTCAGAATGCAGATATAACCTTATAATTCTAAGGTGACGAAATAGTGCGGTCAGTCACATGTAACAAAGTGCTCATTCAGTAAAGGCACAGCTTATATAGAAGTACTTTACCCATGCGATTCCCTGCAAATAATTGAAAAAAAAGAGAAAAAAATAGTGTGTGTGTGTGTGTGTGTGTGTGTGTGTGTGTGTGTGTGTGTGTGTGTGTGTGTGTGTGTGTATATATATATATATATATATTTATTTTTTTTTTTTTTTTTAAATCACACAGAATATCTGTCAGATTATTGTGTTGGTGACTCGGTGCCCAGAGCCTTTACTGTCACTGACAAAGAGTGTGGTGTTTATGAGAGAAGGAAAACAAAGTGGCTCTGTTTTCCCACCCTCTACTGACAGACTCTTTCAACACAGTCTGTCCTCCCATGGCAGTCATTTGCTTTGTCTAGGTAGCCGTATTATTTGTGTGCTGCCCTCTAGCTAGACAAATGAAAAGACTTAAGAGAAACTGTAACATCAACAGGACTTTTTTTTTTTTACAGCAACTATGACTCTTAATAAAATTGTATAAAATACAGTTTTAAAAGCTTTAGCGGCTGTGCAATATCAACATAGAGATCATATGGATGAAATTAAATCTGTTGTTTCATATTGTTCTCTTTTTTTAATTGCTGTTGTGATCAAATGCTCGCTTTTGGTAATACTTTTCATTATTTGGATGGCTGCAATCGGCCACCATGGGGATGTAGGCAGAAAATAGAACTACCGCACGGTGACAAAGTTGCAAGCTTAGAAGTTCAATGAACTTATGAACTTCAATGAACAATTAAAACATAATACTCATGAAATGCCAATTCACACATACATTTCAATGTTCTTGTTGCTGTAAACACTTTAATTAAACAGGATTATGTTTGTATTTAAAATAAACAGAAATTTCATTAGGACCTTGTTGATATCCACAGTTTTTGGCTGATAAAACCTATTTATCATTGTTGATTTGTGTGTTGTGTATTGTCATACTATTGGGCTGGTTGTTCTTGTTTATTTTACTTTGATTTAAGTCTACTTTTGACATTTGAGACTTGTGTCTGCCTAATGATTAAGTGTAATGTAAACGTAACACTCAATGTCTTTCTTTAGCATTTCTAATACATTTGCTTGTTCATATTTGACATTTTTAGATGATCTAGAGGATTTTTTAACAGAGATTAAGATGCCTTAATTTAAATAGTTTGTTTCAAGGCATGTTTTGTAATTATGATTCTTAAATATGATTCCTCTATATCAGGATATCAATGCTCATGCCTGTGTGACCGGTAAGCCCATCAGCCAGGGTGGCATCCACGGCCGCATATCTGCCACAGGTCGAGGTGTCTTCCATGGCATTGAAAACTTTGTGAATGAGGCTGCTTACATGAGCCAGCTGGGTCTGACCCCTGGGTTTGGAGACAAGACGTTTGTCATTCAGGTTTGTGCATGTCATGCATAAACACCAGATTCCACCTTCTTATTTTTAGATTTAAAGGGGACCTATTATGCAAAAAATCATTTTCATAAGGCGTTTAAACAAAATTGTGTGTCAGCAGTGTGTGAATATAGCTATCCTCTAATGGTAAAAATTAATTAATTCTATTTTTTAAAATCACACTTCATAAAAACAGACTGCAGAAACACTGTGAGCAGTTGTCTGCATTTACAGTTTTGAATCTGCTGCTCTGCTGATGCACAGGATTTTATAGCTCCACCCTCTTTTAAAAAGAGGGCTGGGAGCACAATCCTGTTTAAATTTAAAGCGACAGTCACCAAAACGGCACACTTTTGATCAAAGCCTAAAAGGGGCAGTTTCAAAGAGTTATAAAAATAAAGTGTGTGGTTTTTTAGCTTAAACTTCATATACTGTACACACTCTATGGACGTCAGAATCTTATTTTACATCTTTTTAAGGGGGCATAATAGGTCCCCTTTAAATGTATAGCTTATGTAGCCAGCTAATGAATTGTTCTTTTGGAAACACAAAGCTGTTTTTTTTACATATGATTTAGAATGCTTATGTAAAATACATCCAGCTTTTTTCATTATCTCAGGACTCTGTGCCAGCAGTGTTCACTAACATAGGTCATTCTGACTTTGCTTGTCTAAGGGCTTGAAATATTCAGTGTGTGCTTTTAGATGCCCAATCAATATTCATAAAGAACATTTTAAAGGATGCAGGGCATACGAATGCTACACTGGATAAAAACTGATTGATAGAACATTTTGTGACACTGTTAAACTATCAGAGAAACAAAAACAGATTGCAAATATAAATATAATTTTAAAGTAATATTAAGGGGAATGTGTAGGGTTTTTTTCATTGAGTAACAACCATGGAAAATCTTGCATTAAGTTTAACAATCCTAATGTTTTGCACCTATAAATATAAAGAAAATCATTAAACTATTTGTCAGTAGTGTAAGAATGTGTAATATAAATATAGAGAGACTGATCAAACTACTTGTCAACATTGCTCTAATGTAATTGCAACTAACTTTTCATATTTTTAAATTCTAAAGTGAATGTTTCATGTTTTAATGAGGTTTAGATATTTTCAGTCACACACAAGATAGCAATATATGAGTGATATAAAATTTTAAATGTTTACAAGAAACTTACAAGAAAGCTTGAATAAATTGAAAATAAATATTTTTGGCAGGCGTTTTTATCTTTAAAGTTTATGCATGATGGTTTAAGAATGTTTTGGTATTTTCACTGTAACACACAAGATGTAATAATAATAATAATAATACATCATATTTAAGTTACAAAATATGTTAAAATAGCAGGTTAAAATACTGTAATATTTATTTAATCCCGTCTTAATTTGTGTGGTAGGGCTTTGGTAATGTGGGTCTGCACTCCATGCGTTACCTACACCGCTACGGAGCGAAGTGTGTGGGTATTGGAGAACTGGATGGAAGCATCTGGAATCCCAATGGCATCGATCCAAAAGAGCTGGAAGACTATAAGCTGGTGAGTCAGACACTGAACTTTTCTTTTTTTTTTTTCCTTCACTAAACCTTCAGTGCGGGGTAAGAGAGCCACCTTGGGGCCACTTAGTTGCAATACATGCAATAACTCCAACCATAAAATGTGAATATATTCATTAAATATCACATATTCTTGTTTACCAGGCAAATGGCACTATTGTTGGCTACCCAGGGGCCACCGCGTATGAAGGCAACATTTTGGAAGCTGAGTGTGATATCCTGATCCCTGCTGCAAGTGAAAAACAGCTCACAAAGAAAAACGCCAACAATATCAAGGCCAAGGTCAGACATCAAAAGAGCCAAACCAAAGTGTGTTTTTTAACAAATGTTAAAGAGAATATGAAAATAAAAAACTTGTTTTCATAGATCATCGCTGAAGGAGCAAACGGCCCAACTACTCCTGAAGCAGACAAGATATTCCTAGAGAGGAATATCATGGTGATCCCGGTACGGCTTCCTGTCACAAAAGTTCTTTTATGTTTAAATCTGAATTAACTTCTATACATGAGAATACACACTACCTGACAAAAGTATCTTCGCCTATCCAAGTTTTAGAAACAACAGATAATAACTTCTAGTTGATCATTTGGTATCAGAAGTGGCTTATATGAAAGACAAAGGCCTCTAGATTACGCTCATTTTACCAAAATAAAATATGATCATGCCTTGATTTTTAATTATTTAATTAGGATAGTAAAGTCTGACTTTGCTTAGAGAAAAGTCTAACTATGTACAGTCAATATAAAGTCATGGTGCAGTGGAAAAGAATGAATATTGTGTATGACTCTTATAAGCTTGGATGACTGCATCCATACATCTCTGCCATGACTCAAATAACTTATTAATAAAGTCAACTAGAATGGCAAAGAAAGTGTTCCTGCAGGACTCCCAGAGCTCATCAAGATTCTTTGGATTCTTCTTCAATGCCTTCATCTTAACCCAAACATGCTCAATGTTCATGTCTGGTGATTAGGCTGGCCAACCCTGGAGCACCTTTTTTCAGGAACTTGGATGTGGAGGCTGAAGTACAAGAAGGAGCGCTATCCTGCTGAAGAATTTGCCGTCTCCTGTGGTTTGTAATGTAATAGGCTGAACAAATGTCTTGATACCTCAGGCTGTTGATGTTGCCGTCTACTATGGAGATCTCTCGCACACCCCCTTACTGAATGTAACCCTAATTCCTTCACCAAACTTGACTGGTTTCTGTAAGAATCCTGGGTCCTTGCTGGTTCCAATGGGTCTTCTTACAGTATTTGTGATGATTGGAATGCAGTTCAACAGATGATTCGTTTGAAAAATGTACCTTCTGCCACTTTTCCAAACGATCAACTAGAAGTCAAGTTATTATTTGTTGCTCTTACAACTGGGATTGATGACGAGAGTTTTGGACTTGTATGCATGGTAGATATCAAAATTAGAGAACAACTTAACGTTTTCTAAAAGTTAAGATCTATTAAATAGCCAATATTAAAAGCTTTATGGCACATTTGGTAGAGTCTAAAGACTTGTAAATTTTTATGGTTACACATGTGCTGGAGTCATTTAAAGCAAGGGCCTCCACAATTTTTACCTTTTTAGCTGCTGTAACCTTCAGAAATGTAAAATTGTAAACTTCTACAATCATTGCTGTTCCCTCATTTTAATCAGTTTTTTAAACTTTTAATGTTTGTTTTTTGGCAAAACACACACAAAAAAAAATCAAGTGTTTATAAATTGTTCTCTTATTTTGATCTCCATTGTATAGGTGACTTTTAATGCCGTAATATAAAAAAAATAAGTGTTTGATGCTAATACAGCTCTTAGGCTTTTAGCTCATTCTAATTCATATGGACATAAACAGGACATGTACCTGAACGCTGGGGGTGTGACAGTCTCCTACTTCGAGTGGCTGAAGAATCTTAATCATGTCAGTTATGGCAGACTGACCTTCAAATATGAACGGGATTCAAACTACCATCTGCTAAGTAAGTGAAAAATATGCTTCTCAGAAATGTAATATATAGTAAACCGCAATGCTGTTTTGTGTAAGTGCTAACTGATAGAAATCTCCCTTACTTGAATATCATAAGGGCTTGTAAGGCTTGCTGATGCATGTTGATTACTTCTCTGAAATCGGCTTGTTTTGCGGGTCCTAATTATTCTAGATTGCGTTTAAATTCATGTGGTACTTTTGCTCACTTATTTAAGTGAGTTGAGTGATGATGGTGGGCCCTTGAGAGAGGGTCTGACCACACTTTAACGCAAACACAAACAAATGCTCTCGAATTTCATCTCACTGGCCTAAAATAACCTCACTCCATGGCTAGTCACATAAACAGAACATGTAAACAAGACAGACACAGTAGGGTACACACAAATCCTGTCACAAACTCTACTTTTAACTTCTGTCCCAAGTTCTGACATGTTAGCAGGTATCTGCAGGGTCTTAAAAAGTCTTAATGTCTTAAATATCATAAGCTAAATTTAAGATTTAAAAGTCTTAAATCTACTGAAATAATGTGTTGTAGGTCTTACATCTTTCTTAATTTTCTCTTCTTCATGTATAGCTACCCAATCTGACCATTAACACTCAACCAACAATCCCAATGTCATTAAAGCTTTTTATTTAATTATAGCATTTTTACCAAAATGTTTTAATAATAATAATTCCTTACATTTATATAGCGCTTTTTCTGCGCTTTTAATTACTTTCCTTACAGTAATATATGTTTTAAAGTTCTCTATTTATTTACTGCTGAGGATACTGACCTGACACATATTTTTTTACAAATAAAATATTATTATTGTATTATTAAATGTATTAAATTAATATAATTTTTATAATTTTATAATTCATAATGGTCTTAAAAAGGTTCTATAGAATCTTAAATTGAACTTGAGACCTTCAGAAACCATGTGTTAGTTAACTTATTTACTAACATGAACAATAGATTTATTACAGTATTTATTCATCTTTTTCAAACTTTAGTTAATGAAATTACAGTTGTTCATGTTAACTTACAGTGCAGTAACTAATGTTAACAAGCTAGATTTGGGATTTGAATGATGTATTAGTACATGTTGAATTATGATTAATAAATGCTGCACAAAGAATACGAGTTCATGTTAGTAAATGCATTAACCAATGAATCCTTATTGTAAAATGTGAGCAAAAGGTTGAAATAAATAATTTAAATTCGTTTTAGTATATTCATATACTTGTTCCACTGCACTTTAAAAAATATTGCATACTTGGGACTCAATGTGGGTTTTCTTTCAGTAGAAATAAACAATGTTTTAAATTCACTGTCAGTATTGAATGGGAATCATGTATGTTTTTGGCAGTGTCTGTCCAGGAGAGTCTGGAGAGGAAATTTGGGAAACATGGTGGAGCCATACCCATTGTTCCCACTTCTGATTTTCAAGAAAGGATTTCTGTGAGTGCCAACACATTATTGTTGTATTTATTTCATTTGGAATAAGTGTGCTAGACATAAAAACTTGATTGGCTTGTCTCATAGGGGGCTTCTGAAAAGGACATTGTGCATTCGGGATTGGCTTACACGATGGAACGATCGGCCAGAGTAAGTACATGTATAATAATAAGCAGTTTCATTTATCTGTTTATACAGGTAGGTTATATAAAATAGACGTTTTGACTTATTTATATGGGTCTAAGATATATTTAGGATTTGTTTATGCAAAGTGTCTGTGTAAAGGTTTCATATAACTTTTTAATCTAACTTAATCTTCGTTTAAAGTAGCTGATATATTTATGCTTAGGTGAAACGTATGCTTGTTCTGACCTGCCCTTTTTACAATAAATTATATGAAAGAGTGATCATACTAAATGTTTCTATATTTTAAATGATTAACAAATTTATTGCTGACAAATGGGCTAAACCTAGTTTCAAGGGCAGTGGCAAAATTAAAAAAAATGTAAAATTACATTTAATGAACGTTAAATGCCTCAGCAGATCCTATCGAGTATCTTATTAAGTCAACAAATGATTCTTTTTGGTTGTTCCACTGAATGACATTTCAGTGGGTGTCTTCTGTAAATCGTATAGTTACAGGTTTTGTGCTTTACTTGTTTTCATACAGTACTTTTCCATAACTGCCATAGGACTGATAATGATAACAGCATTCTCAGTGATATTATTTAATTTTATGATAAAATAATAATAATAATAATAATAATTATTATTATTATTATTATTATTGATGTTGTTAATATTATTTATATTTGTTTTTGTGCTGTTCTTTTCCATAACAGCCATAGAACTAATACTGATAATATTCTTAATATAATTATTTAATTATATAATAATAATAATAATATTTATTATTATTATTATTATTATAAGAATGATGATTATACATTAGTATTTTTATTATTATGAATGTTGTTATTATTTATAAATAAAATGATCAGATTTTCAATAGTTAATTCAGTATAATCGTGTTATAGTAGGCCACTCAGTCACAGTGACATTTTAATTCTTTTGCTTTGTAGCAGACCCTCTCATGTTGACATGCAGACACTATGAAACATCCAAATGATTAATGACCATATATCAATAGTTAATTAATCATTACATCCTTGCTAATGATTTTAGCTAGCATTTCACTCCTCTCTATAAATGGTTAATGCCAAACTGTGTTAGTTTCCCTCCAGCACAATCCTTTCTGTATTTGGATCATGGAAATAAACAGATAGTCTGACTTTACTTCACACACCCAGCAACCGCTTTTGTGTATGACAGAGATATGGTAACCAGAGAAGAGAATGTGTGTGTTCATGAGCTATTTATGAGGTATTGTTACTTTCAGTCGTTTGTTTCGGAATTAAAAAATGAGATCCAACCCATTTAATGGATCCTCAATCATCCACCACACCCAATATTTGTGGTTCATCAAAGTCATTTCCTGAAGGATTTGCTCAGTTCAAACATTAGCATGAAGCTATTTTATTGTTACTTTCCCATGTAAAATTATTAGTTCAATTAGTCTAATCTTTTCAAAATTTTCCCAAGTAATGGAGCATGGACATTTTTCACAATATTTCCTATCATATTTTTTTTCTTCTTGCTAAAGTTTCATATATATATATATATATATATAATTTATATATATAATATATATATATATATATATATATATATATATATATATATATATATATATATATATATATATATATATATATATATATATATATATATATATATTATTTATTTATTTATTTATTTATTTATTTTTTTTTACAATTTTTACAAATTACTTTCAACTGGCTACATAACAAAACACTGTTGTCCAGTTTAAATTGCACCTTAGGCTTGTAAAATAATTAGAAAAATGTTTTGTACTGTCATCATGGTGAAGACAAAAGAAAGTAGTTATTAATAATGAGTTATTAAAACTATTATGTATAAAAAAATATTCATGGGAAAATTTGAAAAAGAATAAATGGTCACTTTTACGGTAGTGCTAATAATTTTGCCTTCAACTCTGGTAACTTTATTGACATTGACTGCAAAATTTAAAAGTATTCTAATTACCCACAGCAACACTATGGGTGCTCTATTTCAATGGTATTTCAATGGGTGCCCTGTAAAAGGTCAACATTTCAATGTTAAATTTGAATATTTTTTCTCTGACCTCATGACAGGATATTGTTATATTGCAGTACTGCCCGGAAATATGACCAAAATCAGCTATTCTTGAAGGCAGCCTAATTAGGATGACTTTTACAGTAGTATAACTTAATTATTTTATGTTCAATCCACTTAAATTTGTAAATCATAATAAGTTAACTTAATTCTTTCATGTTGTTCCAACACAAATCAATTGTGTGGAACCCAGCATTTTTTACTGGGTTTATCATAAATAAAATTACAATGTTTGTCTCCTAGAAATGCACACTTGGCAGTAGTACGAGCTGTGAAGAGCAGAAGCTTGAGATACTCAATCCAGATGAACAATTTTTAATAAAACCGGACCATCATAAAAATGATAGACCTAACAGCTTCATCTTTTAAACTTTTGTATCGTTATCTACCAGTAGAACAACCTCACTGCCATAGTAAATAAAACTTCCATTATGGTTTCTGATATATTAATAAAAATAACACTTTAGTGTAACAATTCACCCTATTTACTACTGGATAATTACCTGCCTGCATAATAACAATTATTAGCACCTATAATATGATCTTTTTAAAATTTCTAATCTTACCCAATACTTAAACCCAACCTTTCCAACTATTAATAAGCAGCTAATTTGAAGTTAATTGAGTTTAAAATATTAGTTAGTGGTCTGTTAATAGTGTGAATTAATGAATACATTAAAATAAAATATGACCTATAAAATAATAATTAAAACATATTACGCAAATGAAATAAAAAACAAGATCTTATTATTACACTGAATTACATTAATTGGTTGTGTTTGTTACTATAATTTCTAAAAGCCCTCCTAGGGACAGATGTTGCCAATTAACTTTAGCTAGATGCATTAAGGTATATGCATGGGATGTTTGTGATTTTAGTAATTTTTAGTAATTTAGTAGTTTGTATTTTTAGTAATTTATATTTATTTTATCGGTCCCTAACATAAAAAACATTAAATGAATAAAAAACAAAACAACTAAAACCTAAAGACATTTAAATACAAATAAAATGCACAACTAATAAGAACGTCCCACATTTCTGCCAGTGGTTTCCGATAGTGTTTCTACAGTAAAATCATGGTAAAAGTGACTTGTGGGTCACAAAAAGTAACATTTGCCTGTGGTGTGTGTAGGCCAGTCTGAAATGTATAAAATCATTATGTACAACGTTCCTTCAGATTGTTCACGTAATTCATCTTTCTGTTTTCTTTTTTTTTTAAGCAAATCATGCGCACAGCCAACCGGTATAACCTTGGGCTGGATCTGAGGACAGCAGCTTATGTCAACGCCATTGAGAAAGTCTTCAAAGTGTACCACGAGGCCGGCCTTACCTTCACATAGACCGTTGTATTATTCACTCGACACGGTATATCAGCGTCTGCCTCATCCACGCAGACCCGAGGTATATCACTTAAGCCCTCAGCTCCTCACGTTTACATTTTATACATCCAAATATAAATGTCATAACATTTATGCATGTAGTTACATGTAATCATTTCTAGTTCATCCTTTCAAATACACAAGGCTTTTAGAAAAGAGTTAGTAAAAGCCAAGTCCACACTCTTTGAACAAAGCAGAAAAAATCTATGATGTTGTGCTTTATCTTAATGCTGCTTTGTAATGTTTTCTTTAATGTTTCATGTGTTTCTGAAGCTGTTACTGTGTATAAAAACACACTAAAGCCTTATAGCCTTATACTTGCACACTGTTGTTTGAAGATATTCTAGTTGGTTTCTTTCTTCCTCGCTCTTTTTGCCACAGATGTGGTCAATTGGGAAAGGGCTGCAGGATGAATCTCAGGCGTTTTATATCTGTTACCAAAAAATATAGCACACGCATTTCGAGTTTTGCTGCTTCTTGGGACAGATTTCAGTGATAACCAAAAGTAATTTTTTTTTAATTGTGGCCTTGACCTTATTGGTTATTTTTTTAATTTCACAATAATATGCAATAAGGAATGTGTTTGGAAAAAAATGTTTATTTTTTACTTCATATTAGGATTTAATATGAAGCGTTAAAAAAAATCTTTGTACGGCCTTTTAAATTTTGTTTAAAATAAATAAATAGTCAATGAAAATGTGCTGTGTCAGATTATTTATTTGAATGATATTGTTTGTACTTTGAAACATTTTTAAAATGGGCTAAATAACTGGGGGTGTATTCACAAAATGTCTTAAACTCAAATATCCCCTTAAGATTAGGTTTGCACAGATAAATGCTCTACAAATACAAATTTGCACACTTTTATATTTCTATATCTTTTCTAAATATTATTTAACATAAAAAAAAATATATTTGCTTCATTGTCTTTCTGAGAAAAGACACTAATTTTGAATATGGAGGAAAATATTTATTTAGTGATCTTTAAAATTCATTCATTCATTATTTTCTTTTCAGCTTAGTCCCTTTATTAATCTAGGGTCACCACAGCAGAATCATCCGCCAACTTATCCAGCATATGTTTTTTTACGCAGTGTATGCCCTTCCAGCTGCAACCCATCACCGGGAAACATCCATGCACACTCATTCACCCAACGGACAATTTAGCCTTCCCAATTTACCTGTACTGCATGTCTTTGGACTAGTGGGGGAAACCGAAGTACTGAAACCCACGTGAACATGAGGAGAACATGCAAACTCCACACAGAAATTCCAACTGACCCGAGGCTCGAATTAGCAACTTTATTACTGTGAATCAATTGTGAATCCACTCTGCCATCGTGACACCCTGATCTCTAAAATAATAAAGGTAAAACATACTTTTTTGGATGCAATTAGTGACTTGGCCTGCACTTTAAAACCTTTATTTGAATATAGCAGAATGATCTCTGACAGAGACGTAATTACTGATCATGCTGACATCATCCTTAGCAACGAGGTCAACCCTGCCCTTACTCTTGGCTTAATCCTTCTCCCTATTTCTGAATAGGTTTTAAAAGAAATCTTCAAGCTAAAAACTTTTACAGAAACTTGATTAGTTCAAGTGTTTTGTGAATACAATTTTCAAAACAAGCCTAAAACCATGCTCATGTTGGTGAGAAAAATAGACTTTTTAAATAAGTGATAAATTCTGTTTATTCTGCTTTTATCACACAATATCTATAAACAAAACATGCATAATGAACTTGAATTATCTGAACAAAGAACCTAATATGAATGTAATCAGGCATAGTAGGTTGTATCAGAAATTCAAGAGGCATCCATATTTAAAAAACTATTTACATGAGCAACAAATGAACATCTTGTGTTGTTTAAGTTCATGACACATGGAGACTGCGCTTTTGTCTTCAGCCGGGGATCATCACTTCAATTAGAAATCATTAGCAAGTTCATCCAGGGCGTCGTTGAATTCTAATCAAAAATACATATTAATTAATCAATTTATGCATGGTGGGGAAAGTCTTATGTGATGTGCTCTAAGGTGCGATCTGCGTGTGTATATTTTATTTATGCATTTCTGTTTTACTCACCGGGGTCTGCTGGTTTACTTGGAGTGCTGTCTGCTGCACTTGTGGCTGCTGCAGGAGGGTTTTCTGCTGGTTTTTCTGTTGAAAGCAAGCCGCCAAACAGTCCTCCTGATTTTTCCTTTGGCTTATTATCTCCACTACTTGGGAAAAGCCCTCCCATGCCTCCGGTCTTATCGGTTGGCTGCTTCTTTCCAGTAATTGTTTCCTTCATTTTTTTTTTAACCACAGTAGCTAGCAGAATTCAACAGGAGCAAAAATATTGTTATTATGTATTTTGTAATTCAGTTTGATACAACACAGCTCTTCTTTCTCATCAGATGGGGCCTAAGAATACTTGAAATACTTTTCTTAAATATCTGAAAATATAGGCTTTTGGAAAGCTTTACTTGCACTTAAATCCCCTGCTAACTTTGTTTCTGCGAGTTTTGGACTGACTATTTTCAAAAATATTTAATCTAAATGTTTTGTAGAAAACAAACATTTTGTTGTTGCATGAGTGTATATTTTAACAGATTATGACTCTTGATTCACAGTTGTTATTATGGTTTACATTATGCTATTATTGCATTATTATTTTGCATTACCATGGTCTCTGCTCTGACAACATGTTTTGATGTTAAATTTAACTCTTTTGTTAACAAAGTGACAGTTAATATCTGTAGTTGTTATAAATTATGTCTGGGTTGTCCATGTGAATAATTGAATTAAAAATTAGATTTTCCCCTTAGTTTATTTATAAGTAGAATAAATGCATGTTTAAGTCTAAATTGGAGGTGAAACGTTCCATTTAAATTAAATCTCTACTGAAATAAAGTTTACGTAAACAAATTAAATACGTAAATTTATATAATTTAGAGTCATGCTATCATAGTTCTCTTACATGTACAGTTGAGAGTTAGTGAAACTAAATGGGACAACAGGTTGTATGGTATTATTGTTATTTTTTTACTTAAAGCAATAACTTATTTTAATGAATTAAAGTAATTATAACTAAGCTACTATATTTTAAGATATAAAGGTAAATCATAAAGAAATGAGCCTCTAACCTATTTATTTTAAGTAATACAATACCCAAAAACTTAAGTTAGATTAGAACTTATTATTTATACAGCATACATAATTATTATCTGGCTAAATAAGGACACATCTCACTCCATAAAATGTATTAGCACTTTTAACACACATTGTAACAAATATCCATGAATTAGACCCCTGATAAATAGAGGGTTAACCTGAAGGAAAATGAATGAATGAATGTTTTGCATTTCCCCCATTTATTTATGCTTTTGTTTTGCATTTTGGGACCTTGATCTTTTTTCCAACAACTTTTTACCTTAAAGTTGGAAAAAGTGCCTTTTGTTTACATTTTTAATTGTTTAAAGATATACATTGTCTGGGTTGGTGTTGTTTATATTACTGTACAGAAAAACAGTACATGTTTTCTTTATTTCACAAACTTGTGTCTCTAAATATCATTTCTTATACATTATATTATTTCAGACTACTAAAATGTCACTAAAAGTCACTTTGTTAAACTATAGAGTTGAATTTTCAATATTAAAAGAAAACAGAGCAGAGATCAAGGTCTCATAATGCAATTCACAACCTTAAATAAATGAAAAACACTTGTGAACCACAAAATACAGAAAGCGATTGGATAATTAACAGATATTTTTCATAGTGTAGAAATGCTTTGAGAAACTCACATGCTTTGTCCACAGCTTGGTCGACCATTGATTCGGCTCCTTTATTGCCAAGCATTCCCGAAAAAAAAGACATGTTTGCGAAGTCCTCAGTTGTTGGAGTTTTCTGTTGTTGTTGTTGGTGGTGGTGTGTGTCAGTGTTTTGGCGCAGGAGATGCATGCGGTTTTATTAGGCTGGAGAGTACGTCAGGGATGCTTGTGCCCATTGGTTATTTGAGTTTGGGTGGAGTTGAAAGATGTCAGCAGAGAGAACAGCGAACAAGCCTGACTGGTTTACCTAGTTTCTGTTTCTGCGTCAGCCAGACTTGAGAAGAACACATGATTTGTAGAAGGGTATAATTTAAATTAGGCATTTAATGATTTCATATAATGTTTTATTTATGTTTATTTTTATTAATATTTTATTAAATGTATTTTAGTTTCATTTTCTTACATTTTTACTTCTATGATTTGATTTTGAATTACTGAATTGATTTACTGTACATTTTCTCATTTTTTTGTTTCATGTTTATTATCTAATTATATATTAATAATTTCAGGGAAATTGAACTATTTTCCTTTTTTTAAATTCTTCTTATTTTGTTAGTTTCATTATTTTGATATTGGTTGCATTGTTTATTTTTTGCTGTACATGCCGTTCATATGAACAAGAAGAAAACGATGGGCTGAAATTCTTTTATGTCACCTCCCATAGCTGGAATGTGGAAAAAGCTGAATGACTTGCACATGCAAACTATGAAAACTCCATGAACGCTGACCTTCTGCTGGAGGCTCTGTGCTTGTATGTTCTATATAGACATATGGGATTCATCTGTGTGTATATGTACAGTGTTTGTTTGCTTCATTAATGTGCAGGTGTGTCAGAAACAGGGAGGAGGAGTGGGAGGGGTGTTACGATATGACACGGGTGTGTGTGTCTGTGCCCTGATACTTTTTTTGTTTTGTTTTGTTTGTTAATTGATTTTTACAGTTTCACTGAATTTAAGAGTTTGGCTAAAGAATCAGAAAAAACTTATTTGTAAAAAAAAAAAAAAGGAGGGGGGGGGGGTGTAACATGCTGTGCGTTATCGTGAAACTACTCCTCTTGAATATATTCCACAGTTTGCCCAGCCATAACTTCATCAATAAGGATTTTCCAGAGATTTTTCAATCAGGTTTAGATCAGGACTCTAGGCAGCCATTTCATTATTTTTATATTTTTAAATAAATCAAGCATTGATTCTTTTTGTTCATGAGAGATTTGGTCATCGTGAGCCTTCAGTCCAAATTCTCTTAATAGGGTATATTACGAAGCATGCTAATATGACTTTTAATTTGCCAGTAACCTGGGTTAATCTTTTCCGGTGAACTGTATGCTAATGCAAAATTAGCGAATTTAAGGTCTGTTTTCTTTAAAAATCATCGATCTCCACTGGCTGAGTGATATCCGATATGAAGTGGGTCTCAGATTGTACAAGAAGCACTGCATTAAATTACATTTACCCTCGCCATGTCTTTATAATATGAGCATTTGTTTTACCCCTGTATATTCAATGGAGTTTCTGCGCTAGCCTGCGGATTCTGATGGCTGCGTGCTTGAGAAACTAATGGAATGCCAAAGTCAGTTTAACTGATTGTATTTGAATTACATTACAACATTAATGCTGTAAAAGGAAACATATAAAATGGAAAAAACTCACAATAACAGGTCACCGGAATTTTATCAGTTTGGGAAACACACTAGCTCAGCATATACCCCGTTGTCAAGATGCTGTATGCTGAGATACAGATCCTTAACCTGTTCAATTCCTAACCTGAGCAATTCCAGCAGCAATGTTGAACTAACTGACCTCTGAGACTTTCAGCGTTATCCGAACAGATGCAGTATTTTTTTATGTCAAATATTTGGATTCTTTTCATGTAGTTCATGAGATTTGCTTTAAAAACACTCTTTTACACTTGTCAGAATCATTTTAAAAAGAACTGAGCGGTGACCTTAAACTCTAATACAATGTGGGTTGTTTCCTAATTGTGATCACTATACTGTGCGATTACTATGTAGGCCTATATTATTTCTTAAACAACACTGCAAAAAATGCTTTTCTTACTAAGATTTTTTGTCTTGATTCTAGTCCAAATATCTAAAAGGTCTTAAAACAAGAAGCATTTGCTAGACGAGCAAAACATATTGTCTTGTTTTAAGAAATAATATGCCAAAATGAAGTGAGTTTTTCCTTAAATCAAGCTAAATAATCTGCCAATGGGGTAAGCAAAATCTTATCACAAATCGAAAAACAAGATTATTTTGCTTACCCCATTGGCAGATTATTTAGCTTGATTTAAGATTTTAGATATTGGACTAGAAACAAGACAAAAAATCTAAGTAAGTAAAGCATTTTTTTTTTTTTTTGCATTGTTTCAGAGTACTAAAATGTCAGCACATATCACAACAACTTTTTCAACAAGAAAAGCTGACCGAGTTAAGATTTTGCTGAGCTGTCAATGGGAATTTATTCTTTACAGTGAAAAATATGTTATGAGTTAATTCAACTGAACTAAAAATAATAATTTCAGTAGAGAAGACGCACTGAAATGTCACTGTGTATATAGTTTATATATTGTCAGGCACATTTAGATCAAGAAGAATTGGATAAAATATTACCTAAAAATCACGGTGAAGTTCCACTGTTGCTGTATACATTGCCCTAATCTAACTACCAGGTTTCACCCACGTCAACAAGTGTATAGTATAATATTTTTAAAATGTAAAACATTTAATAATATACTAACTGATTAACGTGTCAATATGTACAAATCACACGAGGTGTTAAAAATGAGAATAGATTTTTTTCACAAAACTGAATTTATTACAGATGGAATATTCAAAAGATTGGCTGCTTTCAGCCAAGGAACAATAAGTCAAGTAAATGAACGTGACGAGTTAAAGTGAAACAACAGACTTATAGGCTGATGATGCAACCTAATAACTGCTCTGACATAATATTTCAATTTTTGTTTATATTATATGTTAACAACATAAAAGAGCATCATTTTATAACCACACTTTACAGACATCAGTTGCTCATCTTTTTTGGACCATCTATCATTACATCTTTTTTTCCATACTCCTTGTTTCAAACTGTCTACTACAGTTACTACATTGACAGTACTTATATAATTGTTAAATGGAATTTTTTATATATTTTATATAGTATCTTTGCTCACAGTAAGTATCCAACTCATCACCATCATCATCATCTTTCTAACCTCATTGCACTGGGTGGAGGAAACTGGTCAGGTAAGAAAGCCTCCAGTTTCAGGGCAGGTAAGAAAGGCGACTTTGTCTTCATGTAAATCTCCAAATCACAAGCACATGCATACGAAATCTGCACAAATGTGAGAATGACACGAACCGCACATTATACATATCTTATTAATATTGCATAGCTAGATAGTGTTACACAACAATACTATTTCAGTATATCTATATGTGGCGCGTGAGGTAAGTAAAGGCTGATTGTGAGGAGAAAGCAAGAGACGAGTGTGTTTGTTTTCTGAAGTTGAAGATTATTTGTTGTTCTTCAGAGGTTTAACATGATGATATTCAGCAGCTAATAAACTCTTCTCTCAGGCAAGAAGCAGAGCATCATGGGACATTCGGTTCAACGGCGGCCTGAAAGAGAAACATAGGGTTAAGCTGAAACGACTATGAGAATTGGAAACAAATTGTGTAGGTACATGAAATACTGATATAGGATTTATTCAAAGCCTATTGTGTCATCACCTTGGAATATTAAGGGTTTGCTTTCTGCAAATGTGTGTGACATTTGTTTTTTTAAATAAAAAGTCTTAATGTATGCAACCCATAAAAAAAACATCACATAATGTAAATAAGTTGTCATTTAATAAGAATATGTCAATAACTCAATTTTGACAAAAATGTCAGAAAGAACCTTATAATTCTAAGGTGACGATTGGCCTTTACTGCATTTCCAAGTTGAAGCACTGCCTCTGTTGTAATTGCTAAACAAGTCTGATGGGGCTGTAAATTCAGAACTGCTGAATGTGACAAGTTGCTGACTGTCAAATGACTAAGGAAAATCATCAGATCTTGACCTACATTTGTGTAAACAATTAACAACATTTCAGAGGACTTGACTAACTACAGTTATTGAAATGTATAAGCCTTAAAAAAGTAAATATTTTTTATTATATATATATATATATATATATATATATATATATATATATATATATATATATATATATATATATATATATTTGTGTGTGTGTATATATATATATATATATATATATATATATTTTTTTTTTTTTTTTTTTTTTTACTTTATTTGAGAACTTAATCTGCTAAATATGTCTTGAATATGTCTTGAAAGTCTTGAATTTTAAAAAGATAGAAATTAAGGGTTAAAATATTTGAAAATCATTTATAAATTCATACTTTTTTTTATCTATATATATATATATATATTTACTAAATATTTTAATGCGACCAATGCTTCTCCACTCATACACTGTCTCATTCACACACACAAACAATGGCCAATTTGGACATGCAAACTTCACACAGAAATGCCACCCGGTCCTGCTGGGACTCAAACCAGCGACCTTCTTACTGCAAGGCGACAGTGCTAACCACTGAGCCACCATGTCAACTATTTTTTGATATTTTAAAGTAAAACAAGACACAATTCTTTTAAAACAATATTTTTTTTCAGTGTGATAAATCAGACAATGTACTAAAAAATAATAATGACAATAACAAAAAGAAAACCTTTTTAAGGTAGAACTTTTTTTTTTTTGTGCTATTGTTTTTACAAAAACAAAACAAAACTGTTACCATGAAAGACCTGACACCAGAAAAGTAAACTAATGCTGGTTTCCATACAAATCCAAACACAAATTGATTAAATTAACTTGATTTTTTATTTTATTATATTTTTTTGCCAATTTAAGGGCACTGAGCATAAAACAATTAAGCTGTCCCCCAAAAAATATCCTTTTGAATTGTGTTGATTCAGCTCATCTTAATTAAGTAGTTTGAAGTAGCAGCAAAAATATACACATGTCGCCAATACATAATGCCCATAGAGTATTGCACCACATGTAAAACAATGCAGCAGCAACAACAGAAAATAGGGGAATAGAAGACAAATAAATATGCCTGAAAACATTGTCATTCCAAATCTCAAGATATCACACACGGAGGCGTTTATACTAGCCAGACATGGTGTCCAAATGCTAATAAAAGTATCAATTGTGAATGAGACATGTTAGAAGATTCAGAGCAATAGTCTCTCTAATAATCGAATGCCATCCATTTATGGAAGGATGTTTATTGCCGATCCATGACATTATTAAGTGTTTTCTAGGCAGTAAAAGATAACAGGCAAAAGAACGTAGTTTATGCTTGTTAATAAACTTGCAAGAAAAAAATGGAACATGGAAGAAACAGGGTGCATATTCAAAACCAGACCTAAGATATTGATCAAATGAGCTACAATTGTGGACCAGTCTGGATCACGACACTTCTATACACAATGAATATAATCACCTACAGTGAATCTACAGATGTGAGTGAGCTGCATTATATTTATGTCTTAAATAAAGTGTAATGTGTATTCTGTGTAGGATCCTAAGCTGAATAGCTCTAAAAGGTAGTATAAAGATGTATAATTTTATATGTAACGTATCTCCAAAGTATATCATTTGAATGTTGTTGTTTTTTTATCTCAATTTTGCTTTAAACAAGTTTCACAAATTTGAATTAACAGATTACACTCTCTAATTCTAGCTCTCTCACCTACTGCCCGGCGTCTGCTGGCTGCTCCTCGTGCTTCACCACCCCCTGCAGGCAGAAAGGCAACAACACACTTCAGCCAAGACTAGATCTTTATTTTATTTCCAGCTCTTGAGATATTTTTTTATGTATTTCGATAAAAAAGACTCTTTTCAAGTAATGAGATATGCATCTATCGTTATTTTTGCTTTTTGGAAGGTGACTGTTCACGAATTAGCCTATCTCTCGGTTTGTTTCTTCATAAGCTTGCTGTCATTGAAAACAAATAAAACGATTTAAATACCATTGAAAGGAAACATGGAGCATATTAAAAATGCACAGCAATATTTTGGAAAGTTATGGGTTATTTATGAATGGCATTATGAGGGCAGTAGTATAGGCTTTATATAAATATGACAATAGATCTTTTATAATTTTGTTGCATTCAAATAAATGGATTTTTGTATTTAATGGCAATGGTTTTTGTGGGTAAAAGTGATCATTCAGCATGCGTTTAATGCATGCATGCATTTATTAAAGCACCTCTGTAATCTCCAGTTCATCCTGATATTAGAAAGAAAAGCATGAACAACATTATGTCAAAAATAGATTATTACTCAACAACAACAGTACATTAAGCAATTTGTATTGAAACAACTAAAACAACAGCAACAGTTGTAATCTCAAACTATATATATATATATATATATATATATATATATATATATATATATATATATATATATATATATATATATATATATATATATATATATAGGCTAAAATTGTAACAAAACTGCTTACCGGTTTGACGAGGCCTGCAGAGGCGACCATAGTCTCCAGCCCCTCCACTGCCTTCTCTGACACCTCATTGGCTCCAGCCACAGCAGTATCACTCATGAGATTTGCCTGGTCAGTTGTTTTCTGGGCAACTAAATGAGATGAAAAGATGTACTTATATTTAGATTTAAGATTATGTTTTTTAATAACAGGTGACGTTGTAAGATTCTTAAAACATTAAGCCACACGGACCAGTCATCATCTAAACCTGTGTAAAGTCTGTCCTGGAGGGCTGGTGTCCTGCAGAGTTTAACTCTAACTTCAACACATCTGCCAGGAAGTTTCTAGTATACCTCGTTAGCCTATTTAGGTGTGTCTATTGGGGTAAAGCTAAACTTTACTTGACACTGGCCCTCCAGGACCAAGTTTGGGCACCCTTGATCTGAACACTGCAAGATGCCCAATTGTGTCAATCTCAATAGTGAGAGTGGGGGGTACAGTAAACCAACTACTCGGCCAGAGGGTATTTAGCCATAGACTATAATTATCAGTTACATGGGAAAAACATTTATATTTGTTTAAAAGAAAGAAAACTACAATAACTGACAAAATCGGAATAAACATATATGCATATATGTATATATGTATGTGTATAAGTGTGTGTGTGAATAACATATATATATTAAGTGTGTGTGTGAATAAAAAAAAAAAAAAAAAAAAAAATATATATATATATATATATATATATATATATATATATATATATATATATATATATATATATATATATATATATATATATATTGGGGCAGGGCCGGCCCGTGGCATATGCAGTATAGGCAAATGCTAAGGGCGCTGTACATCCAGGGGCGCCAGAAATGAGCGGGGTTAAGTTGGTTTTATTTTCATTATTCCTGACACACATTCAGTGATAGATGGCAATAACTCAGAAACCTCTTACCCTAAAAAGATGTAAAGTGTGTTTCCTACAAAAAGACAAAGCTGGTTATGTTTCACAGCTGTCTTTTTCGTTTTTTTTTCGCTGGATATTACGAGCACTGCTCCGTTTAGCCTGGGATATGCATTTAGCCGGGAGAGCTAAGCTCGCGGGGAGTTTAGCTCTCCTTAAGGGACAATTGGCATATTTATCTGAAATTTTCCCAGCTTGTAGTAGTCGATCAAAAAGCTGGTTAGTTTCTTATGACTTCACTTTACACTAGCAGTGGAATTTACTGCGATGTGACGGGGCGCCACCTGAAATCTTGCCAAGGGCGCCAAATTGGTTGCGGCCGGGCCTGGTGGGGGGGGGGGGGGGGGGTGGGGTGGGGGGGGTGGGGTGTTGTTGTTGTTGTTGTCGTCGTCGTTGTCGTCGTTGTCGTTGTCGTACGCGTACTGAAAAGCGGGGGAGGGGGGTTGAGCGGCGTACTCAAGAGCAGTGTTGTCGTGCACCTACTGAAGGGTGGGACCGAGGGTGTGTCGCGTCGCGGGGGCACTTTTGATCATTTTGGAAGGGCACTTTCTATCCAAGACTAAAAAGGGCATGTGCACTTCACAGGTTGAGCCCTATGTGTGCAGGTGCCTGCCCGGCATCCTGGCCAAACTTGCCCACTGGCCTTTGTCCATCATGGCCTCCTAACCCTCCCCATATCATAATTGGCTTCATCACTCTGTCTCCTCTCCACCAATCAGCTGGTGTGTGGTGTGCGGTCTGGTGCAAAATGGCTGTCAATCAATCGACTCGAGATACTGATCTTTTTCTTCTCAATGATTAATGTTAATGTTAAGCTAAGTTTTTAGCGACATATTAGTTTTTTACTGGCAAGCCCTATAGAAAATAGTAGCTTAAAATACTGTAAGGATAAGAATAATCTTTAAGGACGAACCTCCCATAAACATTAAGGTTTTATTAAAGCTAGAATTCTAGATACATTTTCAATATTTTGCCACTGCCACAAATCACACTGTAATAAAGTCAACAAAATGACATTCTTGTCTGAAAAATCATAAAATCTAATGTAGCTGAAGTGCGCCACAGGCTGTTCATGAAGGATTTTGCAGAGAGCGATGTCGCTGCATGATGTCAAATCAAACCTCAGTTTCATATTAAAATGATGGAAAGATATAGATTATGGTAGTTTTATGATTGCTGTACAAATTTTACTGATATTGATTAGCATCAATTTTATTACTGAAAAGTCACTACTAGGTTAATGTACAAACAACAAAGGCCTATTTAAAAACAATTTAACCACATGATTTTAACACAAAATAAAACACACTTCTGTATCTTTTATTTCTTTTACCTGTGTTTACACTTGTAGCAACGCCCTCCTTTGTCTTTGTACCTGTAAAAAAGAATAAGCTAGTTTATTGCGGTTCATATAATATCACTCATGAAACAGCAATGATTGCTCACCCAAAAAATATTTCGCCCATGCACTCTTGGAAAAAAGGTACAAAAACTGTCACTTTTGCCTTACAATAAATAATGTATAATGTGCACTTATGCTAAACTGAATGGTATAACGTCCTACCTTTCACATGGGAGACAGCTTTTGTACCTTTTGTGGTCCAAAAAGTTCAATGAAAACCTTTGGGGTCTAAAACAGTACTGAAAAACGTGTTTTAAAATTATTCTACACTCTTAGAAATAAAGATAAAGAAGCTGTCACTGGGGCAGTACCCTTTCAAAAGATACATACAGTTGAAGTCAGAATTATTAGCCCCCTTCAAAATTTTTTTCTTCTGTTTTAAATATTTTCCAAATTATGTTTAACAGAGCAAGGAAATTTTCACAGTATGTCTGATGATATTTTTTCTTCTCGAAAAAGTCTTATTTGTTTTATTTCGGCTAGAATAAAAGCAGTTTTTTAAGCACTATTTTAGGGACAAAATTATTAGCCCCTTTAAGCCATTTCTTTTTTCAATAGTCTACAGATCAAACCATCATTATACAATAACTTGCCTAATTACCCTAACCTGCCTAGTTAACCCAATTAACCTAGTTAAGCCTTAAAATGTCACTTTAAGCTGTAAAGAAGTGTCTTAAAAAAATGTCTAGTAAAATATTGTTTACTGTTATCATGGCAAGGATAAAATAAATCAGTTATTAAAAATAAGTGATTAAAACTATTATGTTTAGAAATGTGTTGAAAAAAAATCTTTTCTCTGTTAAACAGAAACTAGGGGAAAAAAAACAAGCAGTCTAATGATTCAGGGGGGCTAATAATTCTGACTTCAACTGCATATGTACCTAAAGAGTCCAAAGTGATACCTCAAAAGTGCACATTAGTACCCAAATGTACCTAAAAAGTACCTTTGAGGTACCACTATGGACCCTTCAGGTACAAATATGCACCTTTTGAAAAGGTACTGCTCCAGTGACAGCTCCTGTATCTTTATTTCTGTGAGTGTACTGAATGCTGTTTTGTAGATGAATACAGATCAGATTTGGAACAAGTAAACTATGTAAATTACTATTAAAATCCTTTTAAGCACTCATTCAAACTTTACCCTAATTTCATCTTATTTTGAGACAAAAAGCTGTTCGACTGATGCTTTCAGCTCCTGGCTCCTGTCCTCTCCTGAGATCCATACACTTAGTCTGTCTAAAGGTCCAGCAATCAGGACCCAAGAGATTCAAGAGACCAAATCGTGGCAAGTAAAAAAGCCTCAGATCTACAATTAGTACACAGGCTGTTGATTGGCACCACTAAGTGCTATTGAGCTTTGCAGACTAAGAAACATCCTTTCCACTGGGACACTGTCTGCCTGTTAACAGTGGAAAAAAACCCACATCGGCCTTTGAAAGGCCCTGGCGTCTGTAGCACTGAATCTCAGTCACAGGGATGATCCATAGAACAAACACGATCTCTGTTTATTCCAAGAAATTTAAGTTCACAGCAATGTGCCTGTGTAAGTTGCTCCTCCTTCCCAACACACACACACACAGACACACGCGCATGAGCAAGAACGCATGACATTGTCCTTGTTGTTCTGGACAAAGAGCTGATTTACTATCAAGACATGCACATTCTTGAGGGATCAGCCTCTGCTAGTAACACAAACACAAGCCTGGAATGTTGTATTATTAATGCTGTGATCAATAACGTTTGAGAATAATACCTCCCCACTGCTGCAATATGATGTCACTTCCACAGCATCTCTGATTGCATGACGAAGCAGAAAACGGCTCCACAGCTAGGTGGAGTAGACTGCCAGATACTAAATATAGCTGTGCCTAGATTATAGAGGAAGATTATACTCTTATGTGGCTAAAAGAAGACAGGACTCTTTTAAATACTCTGAGAAGACCTGAATTTCAAATGTCACAATTTGATAACTGATATTTACATTTGTATTCTATACATTTTAAAATGAAAAATCTCTTACTTGTCCATATGAGACTTACTGAAATTAAGTCTTTAAAGCTATTAATCAGGACCATGCTCACACAGTTGTAAAATGAATACTAATTAGGAATACACCGTGATACTAATTAAAGCTATGTTTGATCATGTAATTTAAAAAAATATATATTTTGTTTCTGTAATATATTAGCATAATCAGGCTGGTAGCCAGCCTATTGAAAGGAGTGGTTCTTTTCTCTTAAAATAGGGATGCTTTTGCAGTTATGCAGTTATTTGCTTGATTTTCTATTCCATGATGAGGTTCAAATACTGCATTTTTGTGATATGATGTATTACTAAAAAAACATGTTCATGTACTAAAAATTCTTGCTACAATTTTGTTAAAGCGCTTACATTACTGTTTTACTACAAAGTATATATTTACAAATGTGCATTTAAACTGCAAGTTTTATAAATCATATTATATGAGTAGCATTTTAAACAAAAAATAAAATTAATACAGAAATAAAAGCAAATACTTAAAATACTAATTTCTTATCATCTATCAAAAAAATATTAGGAATCTGTTAAAACTTAGTCTCTTTCAGAATTTGACCATTCAAATGATTAAAAATTAAATTAGTCCTAAAACCTTCTTATAGCAGTTATTTACATAATTTGTGATGTCAAAAATGGGACAAATGAGCTTATGTAGGGGCAAAACTCTAGACTTTGTCAGTGTGGGGTGGGTCCTTTGAACCACCCAACCCTCTAGCAAAGAGCCTGATAATCTTTTAAGTGAACATTTCATTTACTGTTCACTATAGTGATCATGAACTCCACAAGTTTGTGCAAAAAACTGATGATCATGTCCCCTGCTTTATATTGAATTTAGACTTTAAATTATCCAAAGAGATGAACAATGAACATGCCGACTCTCTGCTTAAAGTCACATGATCAATGTCACAAAGTCATTTAGAATAGTGATTCTTTGTTTTAGCGCTTATGTTAAAATCTTCTCAAACCATCATCTACTACTTTATATTATTTATTATTAAAGATAGGTTTGAGAATATATAGATTGTTGCGATACGACTATGTTTTCAGCCTGTGTTAAACAGTGGTTTATTGCAGGGGTTCCCAAACTTTTCAGCACGCGACCCCTAAAATGACTCGCGACCCTCAATATCCTCTGAGGTGGCTATAAATACAGAAACCTTGCATGCAATGGCACACACACACCAATAGACCCAAGTCTATTCTTTGTTTAAATTTTTTTAACGTATGTCAGTGCTGTAAATGGGCCAGAAAATCAATATAGAGCATCTGACGCTATTGCCGTCTTTAATATAATGTATTTACCCCAGGGGTCGCAATCCAATAGAACTAGTAAATAGGCTACTATAAACGACTGTTTTTTTCTCTTCAGTTTGTTATGGATAAAATATAGTAATTCTTTTGGCCTAATAATAATAAGTAGATTTTTGGAAATCACCAGGCGACCCCCCTTCATTGTTCCGCGACCCCTCAAGGGGTCCCGACCCCCACTTTGAGAACCACTGGTTTATTGAACAAATCTGACCTCTGTCTTTAAAGAAATTAAAATATTATTAAAAATTATTAAAATAACAAGGAAGCATTAAGCAAAACAGCTATATCCCAGCCAAAGCACTCTACTTTCAGTTGAATGTAAATGCAAATGACCTATTTATTCTCCCCCATGTGTTTTTTATAAGTACCTTTATGAGTTACTTTCTTCTGTTGGCAGCCATCTACTTCCTTCTTTTGTGTTCAGCAGAAGAAAGAAACTCTTGGTAAAAAATGATCACAGAATTTTCCTTTTTGGATGAAGTAAAATATAATAGAAGATATCTATGCTAACACAGTGATTCTTGCTAGCAAACTGCAAAGCAAAGAGTCCAAAATTAAGAATCATTCATTCATTCATTCATTTTCTTGTCGGCTTAGTCCCTTTATTAATCCGGGGTCGCCACAGCGGAATGAACCGCCAACCTATCCAGCACATTTTTACGTGGCGGATGCCCTTCCAGCCGCAACCCATCTCTGGGAAACATCAACAAACGCTCATTCACACACACTCATACACTAAGGACAATTTAGCCTACCCAATTCACCTGCACTGCATGTCTTTGGACTGTGGGGGAAACCAGAGCACCAGGAGGAAACCCACGCGAAAGCAGGGAGAACATGCAAACTCCACACAGAAACGCCAACTGAGCCAAGAATCGACCCAGCGACCTTCTTGCTGTGAGGCAACAGCACTACCTACTGTGCCACTGCTTCGCCCCAATTAAGAATCAGTATAATTGATTTGGTCAAATGAAAATTTAACTGGCCACTTTATTAGGTACACCTGTCTAACTGCTCGTTAATGCAAATCTATAATCAGCCAATCATATGGCAGCAACTCAGTGCATTTAGGCATGTTGACATAGTCAACATAATCTACTGCAGTTCAAACCAAGCATCAGAATGGGGAAGAAAGGTAATTTAAGTGACATTGAATGTGGCATGGTTGTTAGTGCCAGACGGGCTGGCCTTAGTATTTCGGAAATTGTTAGTCTACTGGGATTTTCACGCACAGCCATCTCTGGGGTTTACAGAGAATGATCTGAAAAATAGAAAGCAGTGATGGGCAGTTATGTGGGTGCAAATGCCTTGTGGATGGCAGAGGTCAGACGAGAATCGCCAGACTGGTTCGAGCTGATAGAAAGGCAACAGCAACTTAAATAACCTCTCGTAACAACCAAGGTATTCAGAAGAGCATCTCTGAAAACACAACATGACGAACATTAAGGCAGATGGGCTACACCAACAGAAGACCACACCAGGTGCCACCCCTGTCAGCTAAAAACAGGAAACTGACAACAATTTGCACAGGCTCACCAAAATTAGACAGTAGAAGATTGGAAAAACGTTGCCTGGTCTGATTTCTGCTGTGATTTTTGGATGGTAGGGTTAGAATTTGGCATCAACAACATGAAAGCATGGATCCATTCTGCCTTTTTTCAACAGTTCAGGCTGCTGGTGGTGTAATGGTGAGGGGGGTATTTTCTTGGCACATTTTTGACCCATTAGTACTAACTAAGCATCGTGCCAATGCCATGGAGTATTGTTGCTGACCATGTACATCCCTTAATGACCACAGTGTACCCATCTACTGATGGCTACTTCCAGTAGGATAATGCACCGTGTCAAAAAGCGCGAATCATCTCAGAATAGCTTCTTGAACATGACAATGAGTTCAATGTACTTAAATGGCCTCCACAGTTACCAGTCTCCATCCAATAAAGCACCTTTGGCATGTGGTTGAACAGGAGATTTGCTTTATGGATGTGCAGCTGACTAATCTGCAGCAACTGCGTGAGGCTATCATGTCAATATGGACCAAAATCTCTGAGAAATATTTCCAGTACCTTAAGGAATCTATGCCACGAAGAATCAAGGCAGTTCTGAATTAAGGCAAAAGGGGTCAAACTCTGTACTAGTCAGGTGACCCTAATAAAGTGGCCGGTGAGTATAAACTTAAATAAACAAAGTTCCACATATAAAATGGTTAAACAGCACTATATTTGATCAGGATATAATAATAATATATCCTGATAAGTTTCTGTACTGTTGCGCCCCTAGTCTCTCACTTTTAGAAAAAAGTTACAAAAGCTGTCACTGAAGCAGTATCCTTTGAAAAGTTACAATTTTGTTCATACACAGTATTTACTCATGTGTTTAGCATTCATAGTAATAGTACCTTTGGAAAGAAATCTGTCCCAGCCACAGTTTCTTTTTATTTCTATGAGGGTGGCAAGCGAGGTGTGTACAGTACTGGCAGCTTGCCACAGTTTGGTACAAGTGACCTCGCATTTCTTTGCTTGTCTGTGTGGTGTGAAGGAAAAGCTTTTACCTCTAGCAATGCACACAAACACGCTCATCCTTCCTCTCTTACCCAACACAAGTCAAAGCTTCTCATAACAGCGAGCACATTGTTCTCTGCTCTCTCAGTTGTGGAGGACAGGTTGAGCGCTTTCACTTTGACAGGCTGCACACACACTGAAAGCCATCTCTAATCAGAAGAGATTGTGTATTGACCCGGGCAGACCCTGCTCTCTGTGGACCGGGATGTGAAGTGGACCGGAAGGGAATGGGATTACAGTGCTGTGTGCCGCTATGACATCCAGACAAAATTATGTATTACACACTTCTGTATGCTTATGCCACATCTTATTTACAAGACATTTTACTGCATCTATTGACGTTACTCAGGTTGCATGTTAATAAAAGTTACTATTACTAACATTATAGTGGGAAAAATTAAAACAAAAAAGACATTTAGCAGATTTAAGCCTGCATGTGCCGTTAAACATCAACATGAACTGGTCTAATAGTTTAGTGAGGTGTTTATCTTCATAAAGTGTCTGCCACTTACAGCTTATCGATTGATTGCATCTTGAAGAGGTTATTGAAAAGCAAAAGTGCTTTCTCTTCTGGTCCTTTACTTCCTGTCTGTCTTAATCTCTTTTCATCTCACACTTTGTTCCCCACCCATTCCTGGCAGGAGAAACACTAGGCTATCATTCAGGTAAGAGTTAAAGGGACAGTTCAAAAGCCATTGTTTACTCATCCTCCGCTTGTTCCAAACCTGTCTGTTTATTTCTTCTGTTGGACACAAAGGGCAATATACTGCAGAGTGTTGGGAAAACAGCTTTGGCCTCCATAGTATCCTATATTTTGTTCCTACTATGAATGTCAAAGCCTGTTTTTCTCAACATTTTTCAGAATGTCTTGTTTTCAACAGAAGACGGTCATTAATTAAATAATTAGAATCACGAGTGCGAGTAAATGTTGAAATTTTTTTTTTTTTTTGGGTGAACTACACCTTTTATAACGGTACTAGTAACCATATGGTGTCCATCAGTAAGTGTAGCAGCATTTTGATCGGTTAATAGACGACAGGCAGGTTTTTTTTTTTTGTGTGCTGGTTTTTCTCTGAACGATTCACTGTTCACTTACTGTAGCTCAACAGTCTCATCTAATAATGTCCGCATGCCCCACATTTGCCCACGCTCTGATTTTCGTTTTCATTGTTAAGTTTTGTTAGATTTTTCTGGTTTTATAGTCACTACCCATAATTTACTGATCTGCATATGAAAGCACAATTTTTGCATTTTATGCAAATGACTGTTTCCAGGCATTAGTGCTGTAATTCATTCTTGAATAATGATGATTAGGGGCCATAAAACTGCATTTTCTTGAATACATTATATGGATACATCCATAGCATTTGACTTTCTTCATGAATTTGATTGATTTATATAATATGTTGTCTTTTTTTTACCAGTGTAAAATGTAACTGCATTTATATACATTAAAATATGTTTAAACATACCCACTACACCATTAAAGAAAAATATGATATTAAACATTTAGAACAGTACAAAAAACCTTTTTACATGAACTTATAACTCACTTCATCATATTATAAATATAAATTATGCAAATTTAATTACTTTAAAGTATAGTTTTGTGATTTTGAAAATGGCATAAGATACAATATTAATATTAATACAATTATAATATCCTCATATACAAGGAAGGAATATTATTTTAAATGTTTTTTATACATTAAACCCCACTGCTTGCTTTTCTGAATGTCTCATTTGTATCTCCACAGTTAAATCGGCACTTACCTACATACATGACCCCCTCTTTGGTTTTGGCGGCTGCCTCCTCCACCCCGGCCTTGGTTTTCTCAGCGGCGGCCACCACTCCCTCTTTGGCTATGGAGAATCCCTTCTTCAGTGCATCCATGCTGGAGCTCAGTGCTGGGCTTTACGTCCTCTCACTGGATCTGGTGCTCGTCTTATAGCTGGTGGATGGAGCTGTGTGTGCTCTGACTGCCAGTGTGGTAAGTGCGATTGCCAGTGTGTGTGTGTGTGTGTGTGTGTGTGGCACTCCTTTGAGAGTGGGATGGGCACTCAGATGGATTGGGACACCCTTAACAAGAGGAGTAACGGATGGGGAGACAGCATGAGAGAGAGAGAGAGAGAGAGAGAGAAAGAGAGAGAGAGAGAGAGAGAGAGAGAGAGAAAGAGAGAGAGAGAAAGAGAAAGAAAGAGAGGGTGTAATAACAAGTGGGTGAGAGGAATGCCGAGAAGTGAAATCCATAAGAAGAAAGCTTTTTCAGTTTGGCCTGTTTTCTCCAGTCACCCATAATAAATAAGACTCTCATACTGGAAGATTAAATTGTTAATGCTCAAATGCAGCATCAGAGCACAGCTTCATAAAAGTATTAAACAACCTTATCCTGATCCTGCCACAGCAAATGCATACAATACACAACACACACTTAATACACAGATATCAAAAAAAAAAAAAAAAACTGTATCTGTCACACACTACCTATATCTCTCCATGGATTGTGTTTTATTGAGTGTTTTTAATATACTCTCATATTAGTAATATGTTTAATGTTTAATTTTTTTAATGTTTAATATTTAAGTATCAGGTTAAATTTAGTTTTACTACTTTACATAGTTTAGCAACCATTAAAGTTTTCATTTGTATTAATTTTCCCCCTATACTTCTTATCACCATTTTTTTATATTCAAAATTTCTATTTTTTAAATAACATTTAAGTAGGTTTATAATGCCAAATTAAGCTTAGTTATTTTGGATAGCTCAGGCAGCTGTATTTTAATTGAGTTAAAAAATTTTTTAGGTTTAAGGTTTAAGTTGACAATAACAACAGTGACTCTTAGACATTTGCTATCATTAGTTAAAGCTACACAATCAAAATAAAAATTCATAAAACTTCTAAATATTGAACCTAAATGTTAACTAAAATTGAATAAATAGTTTAGTAATAGTATTACTAATTGTTAATGTATTTTTCATGTTCACTGACAATAACAAATAAATATTAAACTTAAAAAAGCTGGATCATTTGGATTATTGTGTAACTAGATTGCTCTGCATGAGTCCTAATGCCCCAGTAAAGTGAAAGGGATACTATACTGTCAGTGAGCGTCGTCTTTCGGATAAGACGTCAAACTGAGGTCCTGACTCTCAGTGGTCATTAAAAATCCCATGACAAAACACGAAAATTGTTGAGACGTTTAATATTGAAGAAACAAATTTTATATTAATTATCTTTAATATTAAACATCTCAGTGATTTTTACGACCATTTTTACATGGCTTTGGATAAAAGTGCAACGCAAATTACAACTGGATGCAAATTTTAACATAAAATTATTAAACCACGCTGCAATGTCATCATTCCTGAGGCTCTCAAAGTCAGTCATATCATATACTAACTCAAATCTCATATGAGGGTTTAAATGTGTGTTTACTATAATCTAATAGGGATCTTCTTTGTGAAGCTGATAGGGAGCGGCTGTGTGGGCTGTACAACAGTACAAGAGAGCACCTCATAACCATAATTACATTGTTTTATGGAGCATGCAGTATATTAAAGACAAACTCAGATACTAGCTTTCTTTCTATGCTATACAACCCACTCCATAAATAGCAAAAGCTGGATCTTGATAAGAGCTTAATGAAATCACATTGGGGCGCAGTACAGAAGCTGTTCTTGTTGGCTAATCCTAACATGAACTTAGGAAATGATGTTTAGTGCTTTTATATTTTGATTAAGTTACATCCCTCAGTGAGCTGGTGCAGTCTAAGTCCAGCGCTGAACTCAATGTGCAGGTTTGTCTGATGATTTACCATGCTAAAAAACAAACAAGAAATTGCCTGATGAAAGCAGCTTTCTTACTTTTGTTAATACAGGACGTTTGGGCAGGATATTTAATAAAATTGTTTCTTTTTTTCTCAAATGGCTTGTCAACATAAGTGTATTTATACTTGTTTCATTCAGTTAAAATGATTTCTAGTGTGATTATTGATTTAGTGCAGTTGGTCTGAATACAGTAGGTGTGAATTCAGACATCTGAGCTGAACACCAAACAAGCAGCAAAAAGACAAAATGATACTAAAAATATGCGCTCTAGTGTAGTTTTTAGTTTGACCGTATAATGAATGAAACGTGGAGCAAACAAACCATATGTGTGTGTGTATGTGTGTGTGTGTGTAAGACTGTACGAATGAACTGGTTTCCATCATTGAACATTAATGCACATGTTTTGAGTACTGTCATTAGAGATTTTCAAAACACTCCTGATATTGTTGTTGTGGATGAAGTATTGAAAAACATCCTGATTATGAAAGTAGGCTGCCGTTTTGACGCATACATGGATTTATGCCATTCAGAAAAAATGCTAAAATATCAACCATTAGTAAATGCTCTAAAATTGTGTGGCTACAACACAAAGTTAGTTGTTTTAATCTAAGTTAGCCTTAGACACAATTATAAACTGCGTGTGAGAGGATTACAAATCGCTGGACTCAGAAAGAAAGACTCTAAAAAAATTGCTAAATACTGTTCTGTGTCTGGTATAATAGGCAGTCTGCATGTGTGAAGAAGATGATGCCATCTCTATCTTTAATCCATATATTTACTACTTTGTGCAGAATTGATTGAGTGTTTTAATATTGTCACACACAAAAAAATTCAATGATTGTATTTACTGCTTGTACTTTAAAACATCACAGGCTCTTTATGTTTATTTGGATGCTGTGTTGCTTTAAGTAGTATAAGTCATTCCAAATAAATTAATCAAATGCGTGTGTTTGACCGGGGAATTCCTTGGCTGATTTACATATTTGTGACGCTGGACCACAAAACCTCATGAACAGGCATATTTTTGCAATAGGCTATAATACATTATGTGGGGCAAAGTTAGCTATTTTTATTTAATGGTAAATATCTTTAGCATATTAGATAAAGAACATTCGTATAATAACGATATGTAGTGAATACATGCACCATTAGTGAAAGGGAAACTGTCATTCTATACAGTGTTTACTCGTCCAGCAGTATTCTTTCATTCAGGAAATTGTACATTCTCCAGATACAATTACATCAACTAAAATGGGTCAAATAATAGTGCAAGGCACATACCCATTGTAAAAATATTTGTTCAGTGTTTCAAAATTTCTAAATTGTAGTATATTTTGACATGTTACAGGCAATTTTTGCCCCACTTTATATTTTGGCCTTAACTACTAACTACTACTTAAACACTATACTATACTACTACATTTAAATAATCAATTTCACAATGTACAATTGTACAACAATCTTATTGTGTACTCCTAATCTAAGTGTATAACAGTATCCCAAGAGGACGTAATACCACTCTACTTAGAGTAATGTTTTGTGCCTTTAAGGGACCGACAATAGGGAGGTCATCTGATTAAAATTTCTTATTAAATTCACACAGAAGGGCGATGCAGTGGCGCAGTAAGTAGTGCTGTCACCTCACAGCAAGAAAGACGCTGGTTCAGTTGGCATTTCTGTGTGGAGTTTGCATGTTCTCTCTGCGTTCCTGTTGGTTTCCTCTAGGTGCTCCGGTTTCCCCCACAGTCCAAAGACATGCGGTACAGGTGAATTGGGCAGGCTAAATTATCCATAGTGAATGGGTGTGAATGGATGAGTATGGTTGTTTCCCAGGGATGGGTTGCAGCTGGAAGGGCATCCGCTGTGTAAAAACTTGCTGGATAAGTTGGCGGTTTATTCCACTGTGGCGACCCCGGATTAATAAAGGGACTAAGCCAAAAATTATATGAATGAATTCACACAGAAGCACCTGAGTTTCAATGGATTGTCTTTGATTCAGGACATAAAGAGAGAGTTGCCGATATCACAAGATATCACTAGCTCATGAACATATCAGTGCAACAGATTTCTCGTCCTTAATCCTTGCATAACTGCAGTAAATCATCTCAACTGTGCCTAAAAACTTTCAGGGTCCAGATCTGTGAGCAGGGTTTGGTCACCAGTAGTCATGTGACCCTGATATCCACCTTCACTGCCCAGACTAACTAGATGTACAGCTGCGCATGTCTAAATATAACCCTCTGCATTTCTCAAGAGAATGAGAGAATGTAATCCAATACTGGATGCTCAGAACGCAGCGCTGCCGGGTCAATATGTATCCATCACGAGGCAAAAATCGAGGATGTGAGAAAACAGCATGATCAGAACTAAACTAATCACCAACACAATGACAGAACAGTGTGAAATATCTCATCCATACTCTCTTGAATCACTTTTGAAGTGATCATATTCAGCAGTTTAAAACTCTCAATTATTTGTGATCAACACCCATGTCAAATAATTAATTATTAATCACCACAAACAAAAATGCATTTTATGCTTAAAACCTATGATTATCTTACAAAAGATTATACTTAAGTAAAGTTGAAGTATATATTTAAGTATACTCCATGTAGTATGCAGGCTAAAATGTACTAATAGTGTAATAAAGTGCACGTTAATGTATATTTCTAAATACCTGAAAGTACAGTTGAAAGAAGTACTTAAAAATTAGACTAAAATTACACTTTCTTCCTTTTTTTTTTGTTTGAAGCAGTGGTTCTCAAAGTGGGGGTCGAGTACACCTGAGGGGTCGCGGGACAATGAAGGGGGGTCGCCTGGTGATTTTCAAAAATCGATTTATTTTTGTTAAACCATAAGAATTACCATATTTTATCCATAACCTACTGAAGAGAAAAAATATTTATAGTTACTATAGTAGCTTATAGTTTTATTGGATTGCGACCTCTGGGGTACATTTTATTAATCACATCAATAGGGTCAGATGCAGCATATTGATTTTATAACACCAGGTTTAACTTTCTGGCCCATTTACAGCACTGACATACATAAAAGAATTGAACAAAGAATATACTTGGGTCTATTGGTGTGTGTGCGCCATTGCATGGAAGGCTTCTGTATTTATAACCACCTCAGTGGATAATGGGGGTCGAGAGTCATTGACATTGTCATTTTGGGG